AAATCTCCTCAAGAGGGGCTCGGTCAGGGTTGCCCATTCCTGCTTTTGTTCTGCAGAGTTTAGCTTCAAATGCAATTACACACACCTGAATCAAGGTAATCAAGGTCTTTAGGATTACTAGAAATTTCAAGGCAGGTATGTTGGGACCAGAACCTCCAGGACCAGGTATGGAAACCCCTGGGTTAGACGACCACCAGCTGATTGAGACACTGATGAACATGGAGGAAGTCTTATTAACCGCTATTAACTCCTTACCAGGACCTCAGAGCATACTGACATAGTGGCTGATGATTTCTATTCTTTAGCTTCATACTGTATGTAAGATAATTGTGCTCAACAGCAATTCAGAATATTGTCTAAAAGGAAAAGAGGTAACACTTTAGACTGGGGCTTAGCAGTATTGTCTAGAAAGTTCTGACTCTATACTGACTGCACACTGCCAGAAAAAAATTGTGCAAAAATTGTACCTTTAGAGGTAAAACAGCTTGTCACTGGGGTAGAACCCTTAAAAGGACAACTTTGTACCTTATCTGCCCCTAAAAGTTGCATGTTTGTAGTAGTAAAATATATTCTTAAGGTACTGCTATGAACCTTTTAGGGGTAAATAAAGGTACTTTCGCTCCGGAGGAACCTTCCCATAGTTTCTAGAACTATTGGTGTAAGTTCCTAATTTTGGGCATGTTTTGGAATGTTTAGGGGAACTAAATTAGCTCATACTTTAGAGTAGGGTCTAAAACAGTTCAATAGGAACTATCAGTGACATATTGTATGCTGATTGGTCAAATGCATACGAAACACCGGCTACCTGGCATTTTTAAAAAGTTGTGTAAAAATATTTACAGCATAAATGCCGATAACAGCATTTACCTGTTGTCCGCAGCGTTATGTTCTTTTCTCAGCCTCGATGATATGTAACACTGCAAGTTATCATATATTTAGTCAGATTTTCATGCTCTTTCAATCACGTAAACTATACGTTTACATAACATCTCCAATATCACGAAACCTACAACACACAACAAAAACAGCTCCAATCACGGCGTTCTCAATTCACTTGTTGTTGACATTTGTAAATTAATAAGGAATAAAGACGTTGCTGTCGGCCACTTCAGAGTTCCTGCTGCCAGTGTGAAAATGCCAGAGGGAGAAATTGGTTCTCTAGGAACAACCCTGCTGACTAGTTCCTAGAACTGCACGGTGTGAAAGCGCCTTATGTAATCCTTTTGAGGGCACTGCCCCAGTGACGAGATGTTGTTCCCTGTTGTTTTTGCGGACTGAATGTGGATAGTATGTGGGATACATATGACAGACCATTGTCCAGTGTGGTGCCAAAGTTCTTGGCTTTATGTGGGGAAATGACTGTGTTGTCTATGCCGAGGTCTTGGCAAGGATGTTTCTTGGCTAGGATGAACAGCAGTGTGGTTTTCAGTAAATTCCGCTTCAGATGATGGGCATTTATCCATGCACAAATACATTTCCAGGTGATAACTTCACTAAGTGATTTGGTGTGAAGGCAGAGTTCATTTGATCCAAGTACTGATCCTGGTGGAACACAAAGTTGGTGTGGAGATGAAGCAGATCCTTATCATGGTATCTGGTTAGGTTCTGTTCTGAGCCTGTAATGTCTACTTCATTGGTGGTAAAAAGGAAGATTCACAGTGTTCAATGCTGCTGATAGATATAGTAGAATGCACGACTGATGAGAGGTTTGCTGTTTTAGCTGTATTAAGTACTTTACTACTGAGATTACTGCAAGCTTTAATGAAATTTCCCAAATAAGGTTCAAATGAATTACTTCAATATGGATAAAGATGGTGCAGGTAACAATTCAATGTTCTACAAAAGTCACTTTTATAGAATTAGGCTACTTTCACGATTTGGGTACTGAATGCTACAGCCTTCCATAAATTAAATAACATTGCAACTGGATTGCTGTCATTTCTGATATGTAAATGTGAGGGGGGGAAATAACTCAACTTTTATTTATCATATTTTTATGATTATGTAACAATTTCTGATTGATGTGTTTATAAGTGATGCATATTGAGACATAATGGATAAGACAACAGAAAAAGCGGTGTGATCAAAGATTATTATTTCCACATTAATATATAAGTATCAAGCATTGTAGTCAATTACCTAACAGGTATGATTTTAGATGAAATTTAAACAAAACATGAGGACAATGCTGCGTCTATGCACAACAGTCAGTAGCACAGAATACTCATCGAGTTCTGCTTGCACTAGTCACGCATAACAAATGCAGCGCCCTCTAGCGACTGATACTACTAAGTCTTTATTTTATTATATTTTTTTTTTACCAATGATATGCTATGTGTCCTTTTGCCATTGTATTAACATGCAGTTTAAGTAACAACAGTCTATTGAAAAGATAGTTTACATTTCTCAACCTTTGCACATGGTTTTCATGGTTTTGAGCTTTTTACAGAAGTATTTTATTTGTTTTTCTAACTGTAACTAGGGTTACTCAATTAAAAATTATTTTTTATTCACCGTCATGTTGTCCCAAACCTGTATGACTTTTTTTCTTCTGTGGGACACCAAAGAAAATGTTTCCATTTCCTTTATGCTTACAGTGAAAGTCAAATGGGTTTGAAACAATATGGACAACATCTCTGGTGTTCCAAATAAATGCATACAAGTTTGGAACTACATGAGTGTAACTAAATTACAGAATTTTCATTATGGAGTGAACTAGTTCTTTAAGTTTAACATTTATTGTGAAATAAATCTGGGGTTTCAAGGCATTGCAGGTGAACAGGTTAGAAACTACAGCACTTACATCAGAACAGCAGGCTGTGTAGTGCACTTGCATTACCAAGATTTTTTTTAAAAATTACGTGACAAATTAATTCAGTAATTTAGAAATTAACTGCTTATTCCAAAACTTCATAATTAAGTGTCAGGCACAAAGAGTAGATATTTCAACCTACCCCATTACCAGGGTGAGTTTTAACACTAATAGAAAACAAAGACATGTCAACAAACTTACATTCATTTATTGTGATAATTAAATGTACTTGATTAAAATAGTTGTTATCCTAAAAACCCTAATGAAGGTAGTCTGATTACATTCCTGTATAGCTCATTTCTGGTCGGTTAACTTTGTTGGTCTTTTCTATATAAATAATTAAGTATAACATTATATGTTTGGAACACTACACTTTATTAATTATAATTTGATTATTTTCAAAATGACAAGAAAAGGAACAGGATGCAAGGAAAGGATGGGGCCTAAAAAAAGTTAGCCACTGCTCAGTGGGGATTGCGACTGAAATAGCTTCCTAGTATATATGTAAAATGTTACATTACAGTGGTTAATTTTGAAATTGGTAAAATTAAAAAATTAAATTTAAACTTTCAATTATCTTTAAAACTGAACTTTAAAACTGATAGGGAAAATGATTTTGTTGGAAACATTTGAGAAAACAATATACGACAACAAACTCTCAAACGAAAGTAGTACAGTTATAAAATTGACCCCTAAATTGTAATATTGATTAAAATTTTGCAATATTGTCTGTTGTCAATAGCATTGCAATGTATAAAGCACAGCACACACTGAAGTCGCTTTCAAACCAAGCAGCTTTCTGTTGGTCAGGACAGCAAATTCAAGTGACTAAGTTGATCCAAATGGGAAATCTGGGGAAATCTTTTGCTCTCACGTGAAACTGTATCGATTCCTATTGAAATGACTGAATTTTGAAGCAAATGCAACTAAATGTCATTAATATTATGCAATTTATGGTAACACTTTATTTTAAGGTGTCCTTGATACACGTTACATGTACTAAATATTATAATAACAATTAATTATGCATAATTACATAATTACCCTCAGTAACCCTAAGCCGAGCCCTAATCCTAACCCTAACCATATAGTAAGTACATGCAGTTAATTAATATTACTTAATACTTAAACAGTATAATTACACTGTAACAAGGACACCTTAAAATAAAGTGTATCCCAGTTTATTACTACTCTTAAAAAAAATTATAGAAACAGTTTTTAAATTGCTAGTACATTTCACATTAAATGAAATGTGAAATTTTGCATTTGAAAGACTTAGGTTGTATTTTCTTGTAAAACATTATTTAATTAGTTAAAAAAAAAACTGTATTAATGGGTCATAAATTAATGTACTGCAGAGTGGGAATAGCTCTTGTTATTTCTTTGAAGGAATCAAAGACGACTACTTTGAATCACCTCTTGATTACTGAGTTCCCTCAAAGGGCTGTGTGATTCACTGCCACTGCAATAAATCCCCTAGAGAGCGAATCACCATAGTAATCCCAATTCCTCCATATCAAGCTGCTCACTAGAAAACTCTCCCATTTTAATTGATAACCTGAGCTCTAGATGTAGTTTTGCTCCATCCACTTCTGCAAAGCAAATTTTTTTTGGGTGCATACCGTTGGCGTAGATGTGCTTTTCCCAGCATGGGCCTAGGAGAGAGAAGATGGAGGGGCCTTTTCAGGCTGGGAGTGACAGATCTTTTATTGAAAGAGACTGGACCCCCCTCACACACACACACACACACACACCATGCCCTCCCCATTCGTGTCTGGGCCATTGTCACCAGGCTTGGTACTCCTGAAGTACCCCCCACCTCACCCCTCCAAGGGTCTTTGTCACTGTAAGTCCTTCTGCAGACTGAAACAGTGCCAAACCTCACAAACACACACACATACACACACACATAATGTGTCCTTTTCCCAAAGGCTCATTCAGAAGGGCCCTTTGCTTGTCAGAATGCATCGAGCAGGTCTGCGCAGATCGAGAACGCTTGACGGAATGGAAAAATGGGGAGAGAGACTTATGCCATTATCTAGTTTTGGGTAGAAGTGTGTGTGTGTGTGTGTGTGTGTGTCGATATTGACAGCATTCCTCTGGAGATAAACCCCTCTGGCCTCAAAGCCCCCAGCCCCACCCAGCCCCTCACAAGTGTGTGTGTGTGTGTGTGCGTGCGTGCAGGGGGAAAGGGGCAGTGCCCGGACCCCTACACCCAGATAGTGTAACACTGGAAAGCAGTGAGGCAAAAGACGTAGAGAGAGAGAGAGAGAAAAAGAGAAGGTGTACCGGGATGCCAACCAAGACCATCATTTGTGGAGTAAGTACAACTTTCCTGAAGATTCCTTCAACTTCTTTGTTCAATTTTGCAACATCTAACAAAAACAACAATCTAGAAACTTGCTCATGTTTCCAGTTGATTTTTTTGCTTCAAAATACTCAATGCAAACAAGTTTTGGGGCCACTAAATATATTCTTAATGTTATTTTGGTAACACTTTATTTTACGGTGTTACATGTATGTACTAGTAATAGCAATAAATTATACATAATCATGCAACTAACACTAAAGAAAACCCTAATTAATAAACCTAACCATATACAGTATTAATTACATGTAGTTAATTCATATTACTCATTACTTGTTACAAATGTATAATTACTTTGTAACAAGGACACTAAAATAAAGTGTAACAATTATTTAAATGTGTCCTTGTTACACTGTAATTTCACAAAAAAAGTACTGAGTAATATTAATTAGGGTTAGAGCTTGCTTTAGTGTTAGTTGAGTCACATTTTATTTTAAGGTCCAATTCTCGCTATTAACAAAACATTAACTGTGACTTTTGCCTCAATAAACTACTAATTTGATGCTTATTAATAGTTAGTAAGGTAGTTGTTAAGTTTAGATATTGGGTAGAATTAGGGATGTAGAATATGGTCATGCAGAATATGTGCTTTATAAGTACTAATAAACAGCCAATATGTTCATAACAGGTATGCTAATAAGCAAATAGTTAATAGTGAGAATTGGTCCCTATACTAAAGTGTTACCATTAGTTGCTTGAAATTATGCATAATGTACTGTTATTACTATAGTAAATACATGCAACCTTAAAATAGGCACATTTTTTACAAAAATGTGACTACATTTATAAAGCAGCCATCCAGTCAGCTATATTTTAAAATTGCTTTGCCCCATTCATAGGAGAATCTGGTCTTTGAGTCCCAAACCAAACTATTATATGCAGTCATATTTTCCCTAATAATTTAAAATGTATTTTACTGTAATCAAGAGAGAGAGGAAACTGCATTGTTGCAAAATGTTCTCAAAAGATGCCCTAAAGATTTTCTTTCTTTACATAATGTACAAGGGAGGGCAAAACACTGATGTAAAGAATACGCATGGGATTTAAAAGAAGGACTAAGAATAAAAATATTCACATTTGTACATGAGATTAAAACAAGTTAGAAGGTGTTAATGGAGACTTTCACATTGTGCATTACTTTGTTTTGTGATCTGTGTAGTTGTGGCACAAGCAAACACCTTTGCACTTGGTTTATAGATTGCTGAATAGGGCACAGGGAACCTCTAAAAGATGAACTCACAGTCTCACCTTCGTTTTTACAAGAATAACAGGAAATTCACATCAGATATATTCTTTGATGCAGATTTCACAGGTCCTTCAAATATTTGGACAGATCTTTCATTTGCTAAATCTCAAACTAAGTGGTGTCTCCAAACAAATGCTTTTTTTCTGAGCCATTTTGCAATTATTTTATTCAGCTGATGTCAAGGTGATTTTAGAGAATGTATAAAATCGATTCCCCTCAAGTTCACTACAGCTACAGTATACTTCATCACACTATGAACACAAATGTTTGACAACAACAACATGTCCATTTTCTTTGCAAAGGTTGTTTGTAATATTGATCTTTAAAACAAATGCTATTTGGTTTGGTATTTTATCTACTATTGTATATAATGCAATGTGACTTACAGATTAGATGAGGTTTAGATCAATTTTTTGGGAACACTTATTTTATTGTGTCCTTCTCACACTGAAATTACTCAAAAAAGTACTGAGTAACTGCAATTAACAACATGTACTTAGTATAGGTTTAGGGTTAGGATTTGCTTTAGGGTTTAGTTTCTTGAAATGATGCATACTTTACTGTTATTAAAATGTAATGTGTGGAACAAAACACATTCAAATGATCACAAGTATTGCCAAAATGTGACTACAGCTAACTGTATTTTAAAATTAAATGGAATTTGGCTATTTTTCCAGCAGATTATAATTCTTTTAACATTCAGTCGCAAACATCGCCGCAAGCATACTGTTTAACATTTGCACTTTTTATGTGTTCACCGTCTTGCATAATGCAGGAATAGTCAGTGAAACCTGTCTTTTTGTGTCCCCATGCATGCATGGAAATAGTTATGCATTTCGCAATTATCTCAGTCAGTATATGAATATTTATGATGAGTGATAGTTTACCTCTCCACAGCAATGCATGCTTTTTAAATCAGTCCAAAACACACCAACATCACACACATTTGTTAATTTATGATCCTGAGCCCCAAATGCATCCAGTGCATCATCTCAACTTCCGATGTGGAGAAGGAAATGGTCACACAGGATATAAGTATATATTCATAATATATGGTGTACACGAATATAGCAACGCATTAATGTGCATGAGCTGAATTTTATGGTGTTGTGACGTATAATCCCATTCACTTTCCCTCCGTGGGAATTACGCATCACCACCTGGTCTCATATGAGCGGCTGTTGTTTGCTGTGCAAGCACAGTTATTGTGATGGATCGCATTCTCTCTGTGCGTTTGCCTTTGTCAGTGTGCGTTTCTCAGTAGAGGTGAATTTAAAGACTCCTTCGTCCACTCACTCCGTCTCTCTCTTGGATGCAGTCATACACACACACACACACACACACACACACACTGCAGTGTTGCGTCTCAGTGATGATGTCATCCTGTCTGCTGCAGTACTTCTGCTCTTAGAGAGGGGAGGAAAGCTGGGGCTGGGTGCTGCTGACGTGGTTATTTATCTTTTTTCATATCATTATATGAGTTTCTTTAATTGTTGCATTAAATATCATTTGCGTTTTGCAAGATTATTCATTAAAAGCTTTATAATTCACAATGAGGAATCAACAGGACTGCATTACTCTATTAAATGATCATGTTAATTTTGTTTCTAAAGTACTTATTTCCTAATGTTAGGATGTAATTTTCAAGACAGCCTGGCTTATGAATCATGCAATATTAATCATTTATGTTTCATTCTTTATTGATGCTTTATTTGACCAAGGCAGTATTCTTTTTGAGCTGAAAGGGTCAAAACAGCATCTTTTGCCATGTTTTGTTTGTTCTCTTGACATGTAATGGTACACTGCATAGAGGTGTGGAGAATTTAGCAAGCCAGAGGCTAAGGATTAGGTGTGGTCTACATGATCGCCTCCACCACCTTATCTGCTGCAAACACACGCTCATGTACAGTGACCTCACATTTTATGCATGTAGGGGACTCCAAAAATGGTTACTCAATTCAGGGTTAAAAAATGTATTGCTGGAATAGGTAGTAATTACATACACTCTAAAAAATGCTGGGTTAAAAAGGGACAAACCCAGCTATTGGGTTGTTTTGACCCAGCGGTTGGGTTGTTTTGAGTCAAAACAACCCAACCGCTGGGTCCAAATAACCCAAAAGCTGGGTTTAACCCAGCGCTGGGTTATATTTAACCCAGCATTTTTTAGAGTGTATGTTTCTGATTAAATACGTTATTTTTGCTCTATTTTTTTATTTTATTTAAAATGTAAATTAAAAAAACATTAAAATTTGTTTTTTAAATTTAAAAACATTTAAAATAAAAATTAGATTTTTAAAATATTGAAATATAAGACATTTTTATGATGCCATCCATTTTGTTTTGACTGTGTAAAATAGCATGTGGTGTTAGGATAAATAACTGGAAAATTGTACAAAAGTGTGTATGTATGTGTTTGTGTCCGCATGTGTGTGTGTGTGTGTGTGTGTGTGTGTGTGTGTGTGCAAAAAACCCTAACCCTAACTCTCAAAACTTACACACTCTTTTCACTATTACTACATAGAATGTCCCATGTCCAGCAAAATCCATGCTTTTATATTATAGTATACATTAATGGTTTAAAAGTTTGGGGTTGCTAAGATTTTTTTTATATTTTTAAAAGTCTTTTATGCTCACCAAGGCTGCATTTATTTAATCAAAAATACTGTAAAAACACTAATGTTGTGAAATATTATTAGGCTGCAATTTAAAATAACTATTTTCTAATTAAATATGTTTCAAAATGTAATCTATTCCTATTATGCAAAGCTGAATTTTCAGCATCATTACTCTAGTCTACTCTGTTTATTATCAATGTTGAAAACAGTTGTGCTGTTTTGCATTTTTGTGGAAACTGATACAGTTTGCTTTTCAGGATTCTTTGATGACTGAAAAGTTCAAAAGAACAACATTTATTGGAAATAGAAATCTTGTAACATTATAAATGTTTTAATGTCACTTTGTTATCAATTTAATTATCCTTGCTGAATAAAAATATTAATTTCTATCAAAAAATAAAAAAATCTTGCTGACCCCAAACCCCTTTAGTGTAGTATGTGAATTCTGACACAGCCAAAGAGATGGGGGAGAAAAATTGTGCTCCTAATTCTTAGGAGGTCATAAGTCGTCCCCATGCCAACTCACACTTTGTGTGTGCCCATGTCTCCATGTACTTGTCAAGTATATTTGATCAGTGAACCAGCCCTGCTGCTCGTGAAGGTACACACTCTCACACTCTCACACATTCCCACTGCCTCCACCACAGCAACAACACAACAGATACAATCAACTTACACTGATTCAAAACAACATCTCAGTCTCAAGGATGTGAAAAAAATCTGTGGAAATCTGTTCCAATGCGCTTAAGCCACAGAAGCAATTGAATCCAGACGTGTGATTAAAATCTAAGGGAGCTGCTCTGGAATTATGTAAATGTTCATGCATTGTATATAAATGGGCTTTTTAGAAATAATTTGATGTTTGGCTGAAAGTGTGAAAACTTCTCTCTACTCTAAATGTGTTTTCAGACATGAGAAACCATCGTATGGTTCAATTCTCACTGAGTGAAACTTCTTATCTCAGGACTGGGATAACTAAACTTATTTTGTAGGCTGAACCCCTATTACCTGCAGCATTTTTTAGAATGTGCTTTTTTGCAGCCTGTGTTACTGTAATTGTGATTGAGTATAACAAAGCTTGTCTGCACATACAATCAGTGTTGGGGGTAACGCATTACAAGTAACGCGAGTTACGTAATCAGATTACTTTTTTCAAGTAACTAGTAAAGTAACGCATTACTTTATAATTTACAAGAGAATATCTGAGTTACTTTTTCAAATAAGTAACGCAAGTTACTTTTGTTTCCAATTTATTGATTGACAGCTCTCCTGTCCCCATGTTGAGAAATCAGAAGATGTTACTGTAGTTCAAAATAAATATGAATATGCATCAATTCATCTCACTCATAAAAAACAGATTCCGTATTCCTCAAAATTAATAAAAGTAATGCAACTCAGAATATGACGCAAACCTGCAATAATTAAATGTTAAACAACACAAATATCCTTTATGTATTTTTTCCCATTCTATTAACCAATGTCTTTGCTTCTGACCTTCGATGATCCAGTTCAACCATAATAATAAGCAAAAATTACTCTAGACAAACATTTGTGTGTTTTTTTTATTGCTGAAGTGTGTTGAAATTTCTTCTTCTGCATTCTACTGTACAGACGTACATTTACTTTCCCTTCAGCCTGAGGCTTATTCATTTCATTTTTGGTGTGAAAAGGCTTTTATATATTTGCCAAAAACTTTTTTATTTTAAAAACAAACAAGCCCGCCCTGTCCAGAATTAAAAAGTAACGCAAAAGTAACGTAACGCATTACTTTCCATAAAAAGTAACTAAGTAACGTAAGTAGTTACTTTTTTATGGAGTAACGCAATATTGTAATGCATTACTTTTAAAAGTAACTTTCCCCAACACTGCATACAATAATGTGTTAAATTTATTTATTATTTGAGTCTTTATGCCAAATGTTTTTAACATGATTTTGAAGATGCACTGCTGAAAAGAGAAAAAAAAACGAACTGCTTTTTAGTAAAAGACATTTTCTAAATTTAGATGAATGTGATAAAGTAAAGAAGGTCACATCAATAGAAATAGAAAAACAATCAGCTTCTTGCTCTTTCTGTCTTTGTGCTTTGGTTTTGGGTTTTAATGAGAATCGGTTGATTTGAAAAAATGAGTTTAAGTTTTAACAGTCGATAAAATATGAATTAACTTTTTCCAGTCTTTTTTCTTTCAAGCCACTCCTTCTTATTCTTCCCTTTTGCAGTATTATATAGTCTGTGTCTGTTCTTTGAGGTAATCTGACTGTTTGTGATCCTAAAATGGACAAAATACACAGTGCACATTTGTCTTTTTCATCCAGGAAAAGATTAGTTGAACATCTTGGAAGGAAATAGTAAATTAATTTCATGGGACCTTTAACAATAGGTGTGTGTGTGTGTGTGTGTGTGTGTGTGTGTGCATGCTGTATATATTTATGTACTATGTATATTTAATGTTGAAAAGCTTGTCATTTAATTTGTTTTCATTTTCAGTGTTTTCAGGTTTTGCCCCATTTTGTTGTTGTTGCTGTTGTTGTTTTACTTCAATCTCAGTCTTTTAAAAAAATGTATACTGCTATTAACCAAACGTTATGTCACATTTGTTATCTTTTTTAACACTCTTCACATGTGATATTCTATGAAGTTACAAGTCTATGAAATACGGATGGCTGGCAAAAAGCATATAGTTTTCATGATGTAATTAAGTCATGAAAAATTCTAACTCTTATTTTTAAAATTCTATCCTCCTATATTACTTCCTGTATTTTTTCTCAGGCTGATGCTACCACCAGTTTCCTCCGTGCAGCTCGCTCAGGTAATCTGGAAAAGGCTCTAGACCACATCAAGAATGGCATTGACATCAACACTGCCAATCAGGTAAGACTTCCTCAACTCCCTGTATTCCTCAAGAGGAATAAACATGTCTGATTAATTGTCTGATTGGATCACAGCCAGGCTTTATTCGGAGGTGAAATGTCTGTTTGTAGAAGTCAGTCTTTTTATAGATGTATCTTGAGAGGTGCTCTAAAAGACAAAATGTGCTCTCAGAGCTCTTGAAAGATGTGTTATTTCTAGTTTATAAATCTAGAGCACACAGGGCCAAATCATACGGGGCCACTTTGCACACTTCATTATTTCTGTGATGCAACAACAATCTTTAAACACATAAAAATAAAGCATCCAAAAGGGGATTTTCTCAGAAATGCCATAGAAGAACCATTTGTGGTTCCCCAAAGAACATTTCCACTTTTTTAGTGTGAAGAACATTTTTAATAACCCGAAAAACGTCCCAGGTTACGTATGTAACCATGGTTCCCCGAGGGAAAACGCAGCTCGAGTTCCCGAAGGGGAACCTATTTTTCATTATAAAGAACCTTTTGGAATGGAAAGCTTCCACACCCTTAAAAAACAAAGGTTTCAAAAGTTTGATTGCCCAAATTTTTGGTTCCTTAAATAACCTTTCAGTGATCCATTCTTAAAAGAACTAGTTTTCCTTAGTGTGAAGAACATTTTAAAAGCCTTTTCCATTATAAAAACCTTTTGTACAGTGGAAAGCTTCCATGGATGTTAAAGGTTCTTCATGGAAGCATCAATGCCAAGTTCCTTTATTTTTAAGAGGGTATAGAAGATCTGCTGAGCGGAAGGACCACCTATAATGGGAAGAAGATCCATATTTTCCTGGATTTTGCTCCAGAGATGGTAAAGCGCTGGGCAGAGAGCAACTGCAGGACAAGCCAAGCTAAGAGTGCTTTTCAATGCCACAAAAACAGTTGATGCCATCAATGCTATTCTTGGGTAATGAAGATCAGGAGCCATATTCACAACGATTTTTTTTAAGAGTTATCCTAAATAGCAGTAAAATGTAACAATTTAACAATCCTTAACTTTTCTCAGATTTAGGAGCTGGTTTTAGGACTGACATACCTTTTTTTTTTTAAGAGTTTCTCCTAAATCTGGTGATATAGGAGTTACTCTTAACCTTAAGATGTTTTGTGAATACAGCTCAAGGAGAGCAGCTAAGTGTTCAGGTTTCGTAATTGTTCTTCTTTGATGAACATGTTTGGTTCAACTTAAATTGTCATGCCATCTAAGAGTGTGCATATATGGTGCAAGCCTGATGGTTTCACCTGATACCTACTTTACCTTAGTGGACCTCTGGGGGGAAATGATTGGAAATAATTCTGTGTTTCCATGCCTGAACTGTGCGCAGACTTTATTGTGTGTATGTGCAGTAGATGCAATCAAGTCCACTTCTTTTCCCTTTAGCCTAGTTTGTACACTGACATTTTCTGCTGTGTGGTGGGCCTGCATGCATCAGAACAGCAGCAGTAATTGAAATGATAATGCCCTTTGATTAATGATTAATGACTGCATGTGTTGTGAGTGATGACTTCAGCGCTTTACTACATTTAGTCGTCGTACTGGAGCAAACATGTGAGCAGGTCCACAGAGCTCTCTTGAGAGTGACCATGTCTACATGCACTGCTGAGCTCTTTCAAAAACCTGCTACAAAACCCTTGAGCAAACAATATTTTCTTAGTATTATTGTCTTGGCTTAAATAGAAATATCTAAACATTCTGAAAACAAGATATACTTACTTGACAAACAAAATTGTGTGAGATATAAAGACTTGTTTTTGGTGAATATATCAGTCTCATGTTTTGCAGTCTTAAATTTAGCAAAAATCGTAAAAAAAAAAAATATATATATATATATATATATATTTGTCAATGCGGAAGAAAAACAAACAGTACATTGATATGTATACTTATACTTTCTATATTCTCTGCCTTAATACATTGTACATTAAATTACAGGGGTCATCGGATGCCACATGCATTTTTACAAGTTGTTTGAACTGAAATGTGTGTTGGCAGTGTGTTTACACAACGATCCTATAATGATAAAGATCCACCCAGTGTTTTTTTTAATCTCATTAAATCATTTCTCCTTTCTCAAATCGAGCCGATCTCAGATGCCTGTCTGTGTGACGTCACACAGACAGGCCCCTCCCACGATAGTTTGATTGACAGTAGCGTTTCAGCCCAGACTGGACTGGCGTCTTACCTTAGACCCGCCCTGAGTGAGCTGTCATCAGTCCGCCATTGTTTCGACACCGGAGCAGATGTAGACAAGAATGGCTCCATAGTGATCGAGGTGTTCTGTTGTTGGATGTAATAATGAACATAGCAGTCGTCATTTACTCCTGACATCTGAGCCACTGAAGACGCAGTGGATTACATTTGTTTCTGAAGGGAATGTGTCCCCGATCTACCTAAATGTGTCTATCTTCGCATGAATCATTCGTGATCCAGCTTCACGTCCAGAAGAAGTGAGTGTAAGGTTTTTTAATGAATCTTTACAAATCGCCTTTCCTAATAACGTGCTAGTTAGCAAGTTTCACAATGAATGCAGCTAAAGTTTACCGTCTCTCAGAGAGCGGCTCGGAAGAGAGGGGTGGGGGGAGCAGAGCTCATTTGCATTTAAAGCAGCATGCAAGAAAACAGCTTGCTGTAGACTGAGCTGTTTTTGACAGGGTAAAAACGGTGTTGTTTTACTCTACCATTGAGAAATTTTAACCAAACTATGTTACAGAATTTTTATTAAGACCCTAAAGAATCATATCAACTTGTGGAAAATGGGCATCCGATGACCCCTTTAAAGATGCATTTATCTTTTTATATACTAATTAAGAAAATATATTTGTTTGGATATTTGTATTTGTTTGTAATAGAACACTAGCATTCTGCTTAGAACTACTGTATTATTGCTCTTTTTTTTAAATATTATATAATGCAGTATTCAAGATACTCTACAGCTGTTACTTTAGTATTGTTCTTGGTATTACAATAGTATACTATTATAGCTTTTATTAATATTTTGAATTAGCTTTTGTTTTTAGATTTTCAGTTTTCAATTTAGATTTTAAATTGTAGAAATTGTATTTGCTCATTTCAATTAAATTTTAGTTTTAGTTCAGTTTACTTTTTATTTATTTCCAGTTAGCAATTTTAGTTTCTAATTTTCATTTGGATTTAGTTTTTCATCTAATATTTATATTTTATTTTATTTCAGCTGTATGTACCAACCAAGAGACCAGAAGCTGTTTGTCAGTATTCAATATATTGATTTACATCACAGGAAACTACAGTAGCAAGTGAAATCAGACATATACTGTAAATGTCTATTAACATTTACTGACTAATATAAAACACAGTTTTCAGTGACATCAGTGTCTTTTATGTATATGACTGGCCGTGTAAAGTATGCACGTTGATCGATCATCATACCTTTTTCAGTGACAGAAACCCAGAGTTTGACATCTCCTCATCTCCATATGATGCAACATTTGTTGTATGATATTCTGATACAGCTTTATAACTGTTTGTAATTTCTTCATCCATCCATTATTTTTCTTTTGTTCCTTCATTTCTTTCTTTGAGTCGCATTGAGATGAGGTGAGTGGTCTCTACACTCAGAGGGGATAATATCAGCAATGTGAGAAAGGTCCAACCTCACATGTCCTGTGAGGCTGAAGGAAGGCTGTGTGAGGTTAGACCTATCCCACATGGCCCGTATTCTTCCCAGCAGAGAGACCACCAGCCTGCCATCCACCTAAATCACCACCACCACTATCATCACCATCATCACCATCATTGGTTGATGTTTTTTGACGATGCTTCTGTGAGAGGCGGAGGGATCTACAAACCCCTCACATCCCCTTTTAAGTCTCTTTGCGACATTACAAGACCGTACTGACCATTTGATTTGAGATCAGATCACCTTCAGTGTTTGATTGCTCTGATGGCTCTTTCCCTTCACAGAATGGACTCAACGGGCTGCACTTGGCCTCGAAAGAAGGCCATGTTAAAATGGTGCTGGAACTACTGCACCATGGAATTGTTCTTGAGACGACCACAAAGGTAAGCGTTAGAGCTACAGTGGCCATCAAAACTATTTGAACGTTAACAAAAGTATAGATGTCACTGCGTTAGATGCAAGAGCTTCTAGAAATAACTCTTCTGAATTGTTTCACATTTACATTTAGCTAACTGATCTGAAGGTGAAGTCAGTTCCCCTCAATTTTGTGCAAGTATTATAGCAGAGTAACCATAAGAGATATTCATCACATTAACTTTGAACATGTTCATCTGTTATGTTTCCCTAATTTTTGAGAAATATTATGCTTGTGCTGTTTTTCCACTTGATGTTTTAACACTTTACAATAATTTACTAACATTAGTTAACAACATTAGTTACCATTGACTGACTAGACTAAAGAACTAAAGAAAAATACCTTTAAAGCATTTATTAATCTTAATGTTAATTTCAACATGTACTAATATGTTTTTAAAATCAAATGTTGTAACTGTTAATATTTTTTAATTGTCCTGATTAAACGGGAACAATTATATTTTTATTAACCAACATTACACAAGATTAATAAATACTGTAACATATGTATTTCTCATAGTTAGTTAATTTTAGTTAATGTATTAACTAATGTTATCTAATGGGATTTTATTGTAAAGTGTTGCCAATTTTATTTTATCTAATACAATGATATCCATAGATTTTAAGTGTGACGTAAGGTGTTCAAGTATTTTTTTTTGTTCACATTCATGAAGCAGTTAAGAAGTTACAAGAACTGAATTTTATCACATGTACCTTAAAAAACATTATATAAAGGAAGTACACTTTAGCATACTTTTAAAAAGAGTATGATATAATATACTTTAAAATTATGTATTAAAGTGTGAATGGAATGGAATGTTGTTAGCCACTTAACTGCATGTTATTTTTGATTAATTAAAGTTATATTATAGTTTAAATTCATACAATTAGCTGAACTTTAGAGTGCTTTTTGGACCCACTTAAGTAGGACTTGTGTACATCTTTTTATGTAATTTCATAATTACTTCTATTGTCTTTGAAATATGATTGTACAGACAAGCATATGGTGAACTAGAATATACTTTAATATCATTTCAAGCACATACTTTTACACCAGGAAATTATTTAATTTAAAAAAATGCATATGATTAGAAAAACATGCTCTGTGTCATTAAATAAATATTTCTCTCATAGAAAGGAAATACTGCTCTTCACATCGCTGCGTTAGCTGGACAGGAACAGGTGGTCACAGAGCTGGTTAACTATGGAGCTAATGTCAATGCTCAGTCTCAGGTGGGCAAACAAGGGGTTGGATACTGTGTTCTAATATTCAGCTATATGCAAGTATTCACCTAATGTTGACCTAAAGCACAATACATAATGGGGTTTATATGTTTTCTTCTCCCCAGTTGGATGTTTTCATTTGAACAGTACAGTGATTTTGAGTGTATATAGTGTTGCTCTCCGAACTAAAATCTGTCTGCTTGTATTGTCATCTGTGTATTTGTGTGCTTGTGTTAGTTTGGTATTGTATCTGCATATGGGTGTTTATGTCTGTGTGCAACAGAAGGGCTTCACTCCTCTCTACATGGCTGCACAAGAGAATCACCTGGAGGTTGTGAAGTTTCTCCTGGATAATGGAGCCAATCAGACCATTCCAACTGAGGTGATTCTGCCCATGTAAAAAATAAAAAATAAAAGTACAGATGAGCATACTTTTAAATACTTAAGAACTTAGAAGTACTTGCTCTTAACTGCATATACATTTTCATAAAATGAAAATGTAATGCAGTTTAAACTTATATTACATGCAGTTTATTAAATCCTGTATGTCATGTATACAATTTTAACATTAAGCCAACACAGATTGCAGACTTCCTCTTAACCTGCCATTTTCACACAGGTTATTGAGAGAAATATGGAAAATAAGTGTCTTGTGTTTGTCTTTCTGGCAGGATGGCTTTACCCCTCTTGCTGTGGCTCTTCAGCAGGGCCATGAGAATGTGGTGGCCCTGCTCATCAACCACGGTACTAAGGGCAAGGTCCGCCTTCCTGCACTGCATATCGCTGCCCGAAACGATGACACCCGAACTGCCGCTGTGCTTTTACAGAATGACCCAAATCCTGATGTCTTAAGCAAGGTTTGTGTAAACTGATGGGAAAACTTTTTATTGTTCTTTTCATATTATATGGTTCTGCCTCTAATACCTGATTAAATTAACCAGGGCCCGGTTGCATGAAAGCCCTCAAGCTAAGAAATCCCTTAGTCATAAGGTATAACTTGGGTTGCAAGAAAAATCCTAAGGGTCAACTTAAGGAACCTTAAGGCTGTCATTAATTATTCCCCTTAATTATCGAAGTGTTCCCTTAAGCGTTGCTACAAAGTCCTTAGTATCCATTTCACCTTAATAAATTTAAGGGACCAAAACAGCTCCCTTAAGTCATCTTAAACTCAGTATCTGCAGGATTTTTAAACTCAAATGTAAGTCTTAAGATATTTTTTAAGACCTGCACAAATAAAATATCATATGAGCACAGTAGGACAATGACTATGGTAACATATTCAACTGTAAAATGACTGTAAAAAGCATGACTTACAAGTTTTCACAAAACAAAAATTTTATAGTTTTTTAAGAAAATGGATGAGTTGTATCAATTATTATATTAATTTAAACTATTATTATTAATCAATTATTACATTAATTAAATAACATTATAAATGTAATGTGTGTCTTAATTGTTTAGATTTTTATAATGCATTATCTTCTTGTCGATCCACCTGTTCACATTTACAACCCTGCGTGTTTGCAGCGTCAATTTTCAAATTTGGTCAATTTCCATCATTAGTCAGCAGGAGGCATTTAACTGCAGAAACAAAGTGGTGTCCTTGGTAACGACTGAACACAAAGCAGCGCATATATTATCGCAAAAAAATAAGCTCTGTGTTCAACCATAGTTCGTGAAGCTTACACGTTTTTTCCAGCAAGATAATCTTCACAAAATAATATAACCTTTATGAATTTTGAAGCCTAAATAAAAGTGCCTGAACTTAAAAGCTAAACTTAGGCTATAAACCAACTACACCACCACGGTCGCTCGCCTTCAACGTCACCACCACCGTGCTTCTGACAACTTTTTCAAACTTATTTTTAACATGTTCAGTGAAAAGGATTTACACTGTATATGAATTGTAATCCATGCTACATGAACCTTTTCATATAAATATGAATAAATAAAAAGCTAGAGCCAAACTAAAACTGAAGTGAGATATTAGTAATAAATAGTATAGTGAATAAATGAAATAGTCATAACTAAAGGACATATGAAAGTACATTTCGAAATAAGGTGTAGGCCTATTAAAAGTCAATAAATGATTAATATGAATATTTTAATTAAAAACATGTCTCCACGCACTATTCAATAAAATGCTAGTGCATTTAAATAACAGCAGAACGAGCAAGATTTTGGATATGGTAAGATTAAACTTATTTTAATGAGCAAAGTACCACATTTCAGCTATCGTTTTGTTAGGGTGGGTACACAAAATGTTATTTTATCCTTGCTTCTAGAAAATCCTCAATATATGCTTTCTAACTGCTTCATGTGGCCGTAAACATTTAATTTTAACGTGGCTTTAAGCATTATGCATCATTAAAGTTTCACTTTCACTGTGACTAAGCCAGTAAATGTGGTGTTTACATGGAATAATCATATGAGTTTACCTTATGGTACGAACCCAGAGTCTCCGTATCAGTAAGATAGCGATAAAACGAGCATCATACATCCCAAAACTTGTGTTGCATTTTGGGGGAAAGCAAACCAAAAAATTGTCGAACATAAAATGCTGGAAACTATTAATTGGTCATTCTACAATTACTTGTACTATAAATTCCACCTGTTCACATTTACAACCCTGCGTGTTTGCAGCGTCAATTTTCAAATTTGGTCAATTTCCATCATTAGTCAGCAGGAGGCATTTAACTGCAGAAACAAAGTGGTGTCCTTGGTAACGACTGAACACAAAGCAGCGCATATATTATCGCAAAAAAATAAGCTCTGTGTTCAACCATAGTTCGTGAAGCTTACACGTTTTTTCCAGCAAGATAATCTTCACAAAATAATATAACCTTTATGTTCTTTTTGAAGCCTAAATAAAAGTGCCTGAACTTAAAAGCTAAACTTAGGCTATAAACCAACTACACCACCACGGTCGCTCGCCTTCAACGTCACCACCACCGTGCTTCTGACAACTTTTTCAAACTTATTTTTAACATGTTCAGTGAAAAGGATTTACACTGTATATGAATTGTAATCCATGCTACATGAACCTTTTCATATAAATATGAATAAATAAAAAGCTAGAGCCAAACTAAAACTGAAGTGAGATATTAGTAATAAATAGTATAGTGAATAAATGAAATAGTCATAACTAAAGGACATATGAAAGTACATTTCGAAATAAGGTGTAGGCCTATTAAAAGTCAATAAATGATTAATATGAATATTTTAATTAAAAACATGTCTCCACGCACTATTCAATAAAATGCTAGTGCATTTAAATAACAGCAGAACGAGCAAGATTTTGGATATGGTAAGATTAAACTTATTTTAATGAGCAAAGTACCACATTTCAGCTATCGTTTTGTTAGGGTGGGTACACAAAATGTTATTTTATCCTTGCTTCTAGAAAATCCTCAATATATGCTTTCTAACTGCTTCATGTGGCCGTAAACATTTAATTTTAACGTGGCTTTAAGCATTATGCATCATTAAAGTTTCACTTTCACTGTGACTAAGCCAGTAAATGTGGTGTTTACATGGAATAATCATATGAGTTTACCTTATGGTACGAACCCAGAGTCTCCGTATCAGTAAGATAGCGATAAAACGAGCATCATACATCCCAAAACTTGTGTTGCATTTTGGGGGAAAGCAAACCAAAAAATTGTCGAACATAAAATGCTGGAAACTATTAATTGGTCATTCTACAATTACTTGTACTATAAATTATAGTAAAAATTGGAAAATACTGTAAATTGATAAACTGTTCAGTGTGATGGCGTTTAATGGCGCCTGTAGTCCCATTTAGCAACTTGTTAGCAACCGTCATTTTTAAGAAACGTAACAGTTTAAAAAAATCACGAGTGGGGTGTAACTGGTGTGTTTTATGTTGTAGAATAAAATGTGAAAGTATCTTGAGCTTGTGTGAACCAGGGACCTTATTTTAGGGGATTTAATCAAACTCCAATTCAAAAAACCTATTGACTCTGGGACGATGGAACACAAAGTGCTAAAATGCTAACTCGCTTCCGGGTTTTTGCCTACAAAGTAACATCATAGTTCCACCACTCTATTTCGTTCCCACTCAACAAACTTACATACTCAAGGTAAAAAAAAAAAAATTACATACAGTTGCTTTAAATTGATCAAAAGTAACAGTAAAAGGTAACAGTAAAAGGCAAAAGGTTTCTATTTCAAATTAATTATGTTCTTTTGAAATTTCTGTTCATCAAAAAATCCCGATCCCAGTTTCCACAAATAATATGATGCAGCACAACTGTTTTCAGCATTTCATGATTTCATTTTTTTTGTGTGCAGCAGATTAGCATATCAGAATGATTTCTGAAGGATCATGTAACAAGAGTAATGTCACACTTTGTGTCACAGGAATAAATTACATTTTAAATATATTGAAATAGAAAGCAGCTATTCCAAATGGTCATAATATTTCATAATATTATTGTTTTTATTGTATTTTTAATCAAATAAATGCAGTCTCGGTGAGCAGAAACTCTTTTCAAAAACATGAGCAAACTTTTGAACAGTAGTGCATACAGTTGATGGATTTTTGCAATGATAAAGCAATCAGAGGAACAACTGTATTTTACAAGGAAAAGTGTGCTAGTTACTAACTCAGTTTCCCATGATCCTCTGCAGACAGGCTTCACACCACTCCATATCGCAGCCCACTATGAAAACCTGAATGTTGCCCAACTACTTCTAAACAGAGGAGCTGATGTGAACTTCATGCCCAAGGTCTGTCTTTTAAATATTTCTACACTGAACCTTTGCCTGTTTACAGTTAAATACAAACTAGTGTGGCCTTCTTTCAGAATGGGATCACACCTCTACATATTGCATCCAGGAGAGGAAATGTTATCATGGTCAGACTTCTGCTGGACCGAGGAGCGAAGATTGATGCCAAGACAAAAGTATGTTTTAAAGCCACAATTCTCAACTTTAATGACAGAGAATTTGTATACACGTTTGTTGTTCTTTCATTTTTATCACAGGATGAGTTGACTCCTCTTCACTGTGCTGCCAGAAATGGCCATGTTAGAATAATCGAGATCCTTCTGGACCAAGGAACCCCAATACAGGCCAAGACCAAAGTAGGCATACACCCAAATTACATATAGCCACAATAAAGAAAGAAAGAAAGATCCTCAACAACTCACCAACTTTTGTATTAACCTCTGTGATTTGGTTCATGTGGGTCAATTAGGCCTACATAAAGTTTAAGCTATTGTTCTTATGAGGCTTTTATTTTGTAAGAATTTCTCTATAAACCTGACATTTTTTATTGCGTTTTATTTTATAAAAAGCAATGCTTCAAATAAGAAAAAAAAGTTGGAAAGAGTTACATATCTTGACTGAATATTATGTTCTGACAATAAGATTTAAATTGACTGTAATTATTATTGACACTGTGGTTCCCAATAAACTGTCAACAGTGCAAATGTAATAAAATGCATTATTTAAAAACAACTTTAAAAATCCATTTAAAAAATATTTAGGCCTAAATTTAAGATTTATGTATTTGAAGTGCATATAAAATATCCATCTATTTGGACTACACAGTTTTAACCTAAACAAAATTAAAAAAAATTCAATGTGATGCATATTTGTCAGTTTATAGTCAAAATGTGCTTTAATGAAACAGGTAAGAAATGGTTTAATATTAATAATCATATTTTCAAAATGCATTTTTTTTTTCAATTTACTTGAATGAGTGGAAATGTGTTTATTGCAAAAACAACTACATTTATATAGTTAGAAAAGTATGAAGGTGGTTAAAATATTGCTAGCTGTGGGACAATCAATATTCAGTTATTGTGTAATTCTGACCTGTCTCCTTTCTGTTTTATTGCCAAATATGCATTGCATTAAGTTATTAGTTTGCTTATGTTAAACTGAATGATCTAAATGGATGGATATTTTACATGTAATTCAAATAAAATAATGCAGAAATCTTAAATGAAGTAGTAATATTCAACTTTCAAAAAAAGTTATGTAAGACAGAACAAGTAATACGAATGAAAAAACCCTATCTGATTGGCATAAATTTGAAAGAAAATACCATTGGCAGCTCTAAATGTTCCCATATGTTCACTGTACAGAATGGCCTTTCTCCAATACATATGGCAGCCCAGGGCGATCATTTGGACTGTATCAGACAGCTATTACAGTACAATGCCGAGATTGATGACATCACCCTAGACCACCTGACCCCACTGCATGTGGCAGCACACTGTGGACATCATCGCATGGCCAAGGTGCTCCTGGATAAAGGAGCCAAGCCAAACACCCGTGCTTTGGTTAGTACACATTGAAAAGACACACATGGCACAACTAATGTACATGATAATATTGTTGTTTTGAAATATCTAGAAGCTGTTCGCTTACATATAAATATCTCATGACATGCTTAGAATGGCTTCACGCCACTCCATATTGCCTGTAAGAAGAACCACATCCGTGTAATGGACCTACTGTTAAAGCATTCTGCATCCCTGGAGGCTGTAACCGAGGTGAGCAACAGGATCATTTCACAGTATAAAATAAATTAAGACAAAAAACAAGGATCAAAAGTGGCCCAAAACATAAAACAGATACAGTGGTCATTTATGATTGCATTTCAATTCAAGAACAATAAAAAACACACATTTAAATGGAATAGTTCACTTTAAAATGAAAAGATGCAGATGAGTTTGTTTCTTCATGGGAACAGATTTGGAGAAGTGTAGCATTCTATCATGTACTCATTACCAATGGATCCATTTCAGGGAATGGGTGCCGTCAGGAAGAGAGTCCAAACAGCTGATAAAGATGTCAATAAGTAATCCACAAGATTTAGCAAATGCTCTTTTTTGGGGTGAAATATTCCCTTAAGTTGCATTTACTTTTTAATTTGAGCAAGGTCTAGTATAGAGATCTATGTGAACAAGCTGTGACATGTTCAGTTCTCTGTGTCTGTTTGCTTTCTGTTTAACAGTCTGGACTGACCCCACTGCATGTGTCCTCCTTCATGGGTCATCTGAATATAGTGAAGATACTGATGCAAAAAGGAGCTTCACCACATGTCTCAAATGTGGTAAGTAATATCAACAGTTAAAGGTGCACACTGAAGTATGTCACAATGAGGCCACATAAACATTGAATTTCACATTTTGAAAGCAACATTTTCTTTTATTTCTGATTGAATATATGTTTTGGCTGCAAGCTGTGCTTGTACTGTAATCTTACTGTATGTGATCACGTACCTGTATGTTAATGCGAATTTGTAGAAAGTTGAAACACCTCTGCACATGGCATCTCGAGCTGGTCACTGTGAAGTTGCTGAGTTCCTGTTGCAGAATGCAGCTCCAGTGGACGCCAAAGCCAAGGTGCATTTCATTTAATGGTTTTATATATATATATTTTGTATTTGTATTTTAGTTTGACATTTAATCAAATGTTGGTTTGTTTTTACTGTATAAATGGGGTTTAATTAAAGCTTAGCCAAGCAAAATGAGAAAAACAATGCTGTTTAAATAATAATAGTACACAGTACACAGTTATTTATTTAAAGTGCATTTTAATTTTAGTCTATTTGAAAATCATGGTTTCTATTTTAAACCTGTTATTGTTCAAATGTCTAAAAGCAAATATCACTCCCCATAGAACAAAATAAAAGAAACAATTTTGTTTAAATAGTATTTTCAGTTGACACCATGGTGTTGATGTGCAAAACACACACTGACTAGCTTTACTGAACATAGAAATTATTGTGTTGTATTCTTCTCTTTCTCCGTACATAACAGAAAATATGATGCATGATTTAAAAAGACATCACAACAAATATTAAGAGCTTTATAAGTTTTCTTCTTTATTTATAGTAAGTAAACCTTTTTTGTTTTTACTTTTACCTTCAGTGTAAATTCTATTTTCATATTATAGCTATAAGTTAGCTTTAGTTTATCGTGAAATTAAGTTGTAAAAAGCCCAAAACTATTGCACTGATCTATATTAAGTAACATTTTGACTTATCACTAAAGAAAATATATCTATATATATATTTCTTTATAATAAATAAAGACCATATAGCATATTCTGTATGAATTTAAGTTTATACGAATGTTTTTGTCTTTAGGAAAGTAAATATTTTTGATTAAACCACTATGGTATGCAATATGATATCAATGAGAAAAAATTATTTATGATGTTTTTCCTGCTTAAAATTGGACACTATAACAATATCAATAAACATTTTCATAATTATTTATTTTTTTAAAGTTTGTAGGCTCAAGGCAACATTGTACCACAACGGAAAAATTGAAACATTTGACATTTTTATGCCAAAAGAAGGAATATATTTACTGAAAACATCAATTTATTTAACCAAACACTTGAACAAACAGCTTTATTTAGTTTTTAATGAATTTGACATCTCATATTTAATAAAAAGTAACATTTCATATCCAGCTGTTGCTCTCAGGCAACATTGTACCACCGTGAATTCCAAATATGACCAAACTATCATATCTGTTATAAAGTAAAAAATGAAAAATCATCATAACCTTATCCTAATATGCACCTTATCCTTACAAGCATGCACATACACACACACAATCACATGCATGTAAAATTTCTTTCTTCACTAATGACCCCTCATTGCTTGTGAAAGCAATTCCTCTCAACAGAAAAATTATAATATGTGATTTAGTATGTGAAATACTATTCTTACAAATGCATTACAAAATCACGCACAAATACAAAAGCATTCAGATAATCTTAACCCTTTTCCTTATAAATATCATATACTTGTATTCTAACCTAGAATGCATGCATGGCCTTATGCGATTCCATTACGGTACAATGTTGCCCTAAGGCCATGTTTTTTTTTTGTAATTTCCTGATACATTTGATCATATATCATGTAAAGTTTTTGAAGATACTTCTTTACTTTCCAATGAAGATGACTCCGGTTTTTGTAGGCAATTATGTGTATGAAAATTGATTTTAAAAAAGCACTTTTCATTGGAAAAAATATGGAGTCATGTGACATATGCACATGTCCTGAAAGTGGAAACAAAATGAACCCCTGTGGATCATGTGACCACTTTTTTGTATTTTCATTTATTAGTATTTGACTTCTCCTTCCCTGAAATAGCGCTGTTCAATTAAATGGGTGTCTCGTTTTATTTAAAAAAATAAAAATAGGCTGTGTTGCCTGAAGGCAACACGGTACCTATTAAATCAAAACTTCAAGGTTTAAACCAAATTAAATATAATGTGAGAAAAAAAAAATTGGCTGTCTTTTTTTTTTTTTAAGTTGGTCCAAAGTATCATTTGTTTCAGTGTCACTGTTATTTGTTTAAAATGCATCACTTATCGAAAATGTGATATCAAGCTGTACTTCCATCAGGATGACCAGACGCCGCTACACTGTGCCGCCCGCATGGGCCACAACGAGATGGTGAAGCTGCTGTTGGAGCACAAGGCAAACCCCAACTCCACCACAACAGCAGGACACACTTCACTGCACATCGCTTCCCGTGAGGGACATGCACAAACTGCCAGCATCCTACTGGACATGAACGCCCAGCTCACCAAAATGACCAAGGTACAGTGCTGCCCAAAGCCAAGATCACCTGCTTATTGTATTAAAATTGTTGAAACTCTCTCTTGAAACCGTAATGCTGTTTGATTGGTGCCATGCAGAAAGGCTTCACTCCCCTTCATGTAGCAGCCAAATACGGGAAGGTGGATGTAGCAGTGCTGCTTTTAGAGAGAGGAGCCAACCCAGACGCTGCAGGAAAAGTATGAATCAGCTGCACGCATGCATGTGTTTATATGTATTTATAGAATGTTATTCTGTCTGATGAGACGCTATTAGCATTAGTGGTTGACCAAATGAGTAAACAGACACAACCAAGTAATTAAAATGAAGTCAGCAAATATAATCTAATTACATTTGAACGTGTAACATACCGATTTAAGAATATTAGTTCTATCTCTGTCCATTGACGAGGCTGTTGGTTGATTTTGAAACCAATCATTTTAAAATGTCTAGAATGATCCATCACCACCCTTGTGAAAAAGTACACTTTAGCATACTTTTAAAAAGAGTAGTACTTAATATGGAAATAATGTACTTAAGAGTGAAATTAATGTAATGTTTTTAGACACTTAATTGAATGTTAATTGCAATAAAAAGAAAATGTATTAAAGTTTAAATTTATGTTACATGCAGTTAGCTGACCTTTTGTTCAGCCGAGTGCTTTTTAAACCCTTTAAGTACGTATTTATATGCAATTTAGTAATTACTTCTATTGTCTTTTAAATTAAGGTAAAGTGTACTGATGAATGTACTGACAAGCATTTATGGTACATTAAAATATGCTTTAATGTATTAAATATTACTATTATATTATTATTAGTATATTAGTATATATTAAATATGACTAAATATAATTATAAAATGTAAAAATACAAATATAATATAAATATAAAATGTAATAATGAAATTGCAAATTAGTACATTTAAAATATATTAATGTAATATTAACACAATACAGTTCAAATTTTAATCAATACTTTACATCTGCTTTAGTGTGTTAGTCAATACATCAAAATAAGTGTACTTCTTTAAAGCACAACAAAAGATCATTAAAACTTACCTTAAAATTACAGCGTTTTCTTTCTAAAGTGTACTTAAGTGTGTTAAGAAACATCGTCATGAAAGTATCTCTGTAATTACACTTATTTCATTAATATTATATTATCTGCAAGTATGTTTTTTAAATTTACTTTTATAATTTGAAGTACAATACAGGGGCACATTTAATACAATTAAATGGTTCTTTTTATACAAATGGTGTAGTATTGTTTTATCATTCATACTGTATCTATTGCATTTTCATTTGATACTATTGATGGTAGTGAAGTAAGACGTCTTCTCCTTTATAGATTGGACTCACACCGTTGCACGTGGCTGTCCATCATAACAACTTCGATGTGGTCAATCTTTTGCTCAGCAAAGGCGGATCACCACACAGTGCCGCTTGGGTATGACACTATTTATCGCCCTGCTTAACACACTGAAAACACTCTCAGTCTTAATCATTATTTTGAGGTATTTTTTCTAGCCACAAAGTGCATTAACCTGTTAACTTGCTCATTTTTTTCTCTCCTCAGAATGGCTACACTCCGCTCCACATTGCTTCCAAACAGAACCAGGTGGAGGTAGCGAGCAGTTTACTGCAGCATGGAGCTTCTGCCAATGCTGAGTCATTGCAAGGGGTCACACCGTTACACCTAGCCTCCCAAGAGGGCCAACCAGATATGGTGTTGCTGCTTATCTCAAAGCAGGCCAATGTAAATCTGGGAAATAAGGTAAGATTACTGTACTTCAATTTTTGCATTCTTTTTTTTTTTTAAACCAAAGTTATCCCCCTTCCAAAAGCAATTGCATTGATGAAAAGAGCAGAAACAAAGCAAATTTACATTTCCTTGAAAGCGAGTATTTGAATGGCAGCAAAAAGATGTTATAGGAGTCAAATCATAAGATTCACATTTTTACTTGATCATTTGAGATAAAAGAGCTTGATGTACAAAGTAAGGTACACTCTCAGAGAAAAGGAAACAAAAGCTGACACTGGTTCTGAACACTTTTGTACCTTATTTAGTGATTCATGCACTGCCCACTGATAAATGAAAGGCAAAATGAAATGGCTTAATTTGCTGCTCTTAGTTTTTGAAGGATGGTTTTTCTGATTCTGTGTCAGATTGTAAAATTTGCCCCTATCTAAGATAGCTTAAAAAAAGAAAATGGCAATTAATTTTAAAAATACATGCAAGAACATCGCACATCAGTATGCAAATATTGCAATGATATCATGGTAACTCACACAATTGTATTTGTTAACATTAGTTCATGCATTTGTTAACATTAATGAGCAAGATCTTCACATAACAGTATTTAATGTTAATTTGTAAATATACTAATGCATTTTTGCATTATCTACCACACACTAACAATAAAATTGTTAATATTTGTTATTATTAACTTTTACATATATTAATGTCTTTCTTAACATTAATAGCTTAATTTTTGCATTAGTTAATGTGAACAAACATGCACACCTCTTTTCAAGCTGAACCTCTCTCAACATTATAAACACACATGCAAGCATTGTGAATAGCATGCAAGATCTTGCTTTCTGTCCATATATTGACACACGTCTCTTGTCTCTCCTCAGAGTGGTCTGACTCCTCTTCACCTCGTGGCTCAGGAGGGTCATGTTGGCATTGCTGAAATACTAGTGAAACATGGAGCGTCTGTCTACGCTGCCACACGGGTAAAAACTTGCATCTCTTACAGTGAAATACAATGTTTTTTCTACAGAGTGTACATAATGATTCACATTAATATTGATAATAATACTCATTGTTGATTTCTCTTCAGATGGGTTACACTCCACTTCATGTGGCTTGTCATTATGGCAATATCAAGATGGTTAAGTTCCTCTTACAGCAACAGGCCAATGTAAACTGCAAGACCAGGGTAAATGAAAGATTGGTTTTGCTTTCTTCAGCTTTGTTTCATTTTTCAAATTACTGTAGATGTTCTTCCTTGAATTGCTATTCCTTGGAATAAGAGTAGAATCAATTTGTTTATTTTCGATAAGACAATAAGACAATATTGGGATCTGAAACTCTGGAGGAGACACATTTGAGGAGCAAGAGAAGAGATTTTTCTTTCTTATGAAATCTGACTGTGAGTCTGTCCTCTTTTTGGGACTGTTAGATGGGATATACGCCGCTACATCAGGCTGCTCAGCAGGGCCATACCGACATTGTGACGCTTCTCCTGAAACATGGAGCACAACCAAGTGAAATTACGTCTGTAAGAGCCCAACATCTTTTAACTGATCACCATCATTTTAAAATATGTTGGATGCTGACAAATGCACACAAAAACATTTCCGTTTCCTACAGAATGGCACGTCAGCTCTTGCCATCGCGAAGCGCCTTGGATACATCTCAGTCATTGATGTGCTCAAACTGGTCACTGAAGAGACAGTTACCATGGTGAGTTGCAGCTTTCACAAAATTAATCTCATACAATGGCTACTGTAAAATAAATAAAAAAGACTATGTAGAAAGTCATGTGTTGTAATGAACATTTTCCTTTAAGACCACCACAGAGAAGCATCGCATGAGTTTCCCTGAGACTGTTGATGAGATCTTGGATGTGTCTGAAGATGAAGGTAAATACAGCTCTCTGTTTAATGTCATGCTTGGTTTGAGAGTTGTTAGCATTATGTTCATTAGAATTACAAGACATGTAATAATTTAAAGGGGTCATATGATGCGTTTTAAATTTTTTCTTTCTCTTTGGAGTGTTACAAGCTCTTGGTGCATAAAGAAGATCTGTAAGCTTCTGACTCACAGCCTGTAAATACGTTTTTTATATTTAAATCATTTGCCAATGATGATTCATACGTGAGTTTTGAGCAGTGTAGAGTAGCGCTTGTTGTTTGTTGATTCTCTGATCACAAATGCAGACATGGTTTAATGTTTACGCAGCGCGATATGCAACGCAACGCAAAAAGACAGTATAAGTCATTATAATCAGTAATTATGTCCCCACTGGATGCATCAAATGCCTTGTTTGTAATGGGTTTTATTGGTTTTGTCTCGTCTAGTGATGTCCGGATCGCGAATGAATTGTTCTATTTAACCGGATCTTCTTAGTGAACCGGTCGAACCAGTTCACCAAATCGAACTGAATCGTTTGAAACTGTTCGCGTCTCCAGTACACACTAATCCACAAATTACTTAAATTATTCCATTTATAAACGTGCCTGGCACTCCCTCTGATGCGAAATAAACCAATATCCCGAGTTATTCAGTTACTCCTAACAGTACATTGACTGAACTGCTAAAAGAGAACCGATGATGGGATGTGCACGAGCAGAGCAGCTGGACTGACCCCTTGTCCAAATACCCGCACTTGCGGTCTTGGCCACTTGAGAGCACGTGCGCGCGACAGGAAGTAAGTGTGCAAGTCTGTCCCATGTCTTCAAAATGCCAAAGTGCAGTGCCCTTAATGGATACTAAATCCAGAGCGCTATTCAAAGCTAAGTGTATCCCATCATGCATTATGTTCTGGAAATAAATGGTGAGACTTTTTGCCGAGATCTCGCGAGAGGTCACGGAAACCTTTCCAATGTAAGTTGAATATTAATATAATAATTAGATATTACAAATAATTTGGTAGAAAAACTGTGTTTTTACTTTTATTGGTGCAAAGATGAGTTGTGGTGATATTTATTTTGTACAACATTTGCAACTGCTTTTTATCATTTAATTAGAAGCACCACAAATTAAAATTATGTCATGTTATAGGGACTACTGGACAGACATTTAGAAGTTGATTTTCAAAGTATGTCAAATTAAAATTTAAATAAAGCTGTGTAAACACTTGCATTTTTACAACACTATAAGTGTGTCCCATCAGGTAATGAAAAGTTCGACACACACTTGTGGTCTTCACATCCACTTGAAGACTTCAGCCAAATACAGGAAATACGTCATTTAAGTAATCAAGTGGTCATTTAAGCATGCATACTTCGCATATAAGTAAGACATATTTAAAACATAATATCAAGAGAGAGATGGATATAGAAGGAGGGATTCAGAAAGAATGCGTTGTATATATAAGAATGAGAGAGGGAGAAAAAGGAGGGGTAAGACCTGTCTGGACTCAACAGAAAGACAGAGAGTGTTTTCTAACAAGTGGTCAAGTGCAAAGACTGCAAGTGTGGGTATTTGGACAAAGCCTGAGTCTCATCCTGCTGGGAGATGGCATCACAGTATGGTGAGGGGCGTAACGTTTCCGTCACACGCTTGAGGTATTCAGCCAATCACAACGCACTGGATAGCTGGCCAATCAGAGCACACCTCGCTTTTTCAGAACGATGAGCTTTGTAAAAATCAACGCGTTTCAGAAAGTCAGGGCACAGAGGAGAAACAATAATGTACATTATATGGAAAATAATGTGTTTTTTTAACCTTAAACCGCATAAACACATTTCATTACACCAAATACACAACATAAAGTTCTTTTTAGCAACGTCATATGACCCCTTTAAATAGAATAGAAATAATTTATTTAAATGAGTGGGCATTTAAGGAGCATCCTGCTCTTGGTTTTTCTAGGAATTTCACAGCTTACATTAGGTATGAATTTCCCTCTTTCTTCGTTGTGCGGTGACCATTGTCAGTGACTTCATTTCAAGCACACACACACACACACAAACACTGTCATTCTCTGGTGCACTTTGAAAATTATAATGGATGTGTCATTAGCACGTGTGCATTGATCTTAATAAGCCTGCTTTTATTCCTGAAGCTATCTAACTATTCCAGAACACTTAACTGTCCCACTAACCTGCTACATCTCCTTTTTCGTTTTTTTCTGAAGCAGCACAGATTTAGTTCTCTCAGTAAAACAGTTATCATGCACTGTGGTATAAATAAGTGGTGGTTCATGGTCAATATTGGGGAAAAATTTTGTATTTTATATATATTACGTTTAGGGCTGTCAGTCGATTAAAATTTGTAATCTAATTAATTACATGATGTTTCGATTAATTAATCGCAATTAATCGCAATTAATCGCAAAATAAATTTGTCTGTGAAAATAGCCACAAAAGATTATTTAAAGCTATTTTCGTGTTAAATGAGAAAGTATCAAGTAGACATTACAAATTGTAGCTTTAGAAATATTTTATTTGATTCAACATAAAATGTATTACACATAAACATTTAGGCTACAGCGGCCTATCATAAACTATGGAACATAAAAAAAGATGATTTGAGAAACATGCAGTATTTTTTTTCATACAATGAAAGTCATTGGTAATCAAAACAGCTTTGTTACCAACAGTCTTCAAAATACCTTCTTTTATATTCCATTATCATGCACTGTGGTATAAATAAGTGGTTGTTCATGGTCAATATTGGGGAAAAATTTTGTATTTTATATATATTACGTTTAGGGCTGTCAGTCGATTAAAATTTGTAATCTAATTAATTACATGATGTTTCGATTAATTAATCGAATTAATCGCAATTAATCGCAAAATAAATTTGTCTGTGACAATAGCCACAAAAGATTATTTAAAGCTATTTTCGTGTTAAATGAGAAAGTATCAAGTAGACATTACAAATTGTAGCTTTAGAAATATTTTATTTGATTCAACATAAAATGTATTACACATAAACATTTAGGCTACAGCGGCCTATCATAAACTATGGAACATAAAAAAAGATGATTTGAGAAACATGCAGTATTTTTTTTCATACAATGAAAGTCATTGGTAATCAAAACAGCTTTGTTACCAACAGTCTTCAAAATACCTTCTTTTATATTCCACAAAAGAAAGTAAGTCATTCAGGTTTGAGTAAATTATGCCAGAATTACATTTTTTGGGTGAACTATCCCTTTAATGTTTTTATTATTATCATTATAATTTTATTTTTATTTATTTTTTTATTAAATGATACTCGAAATAAGAAACTAAATCTGCCAGCAGGTGGCGGGAAATGTCTTTATGAGACATCTTCACTCGAACGGCTGATTCATTCAAGAATGAAGTAAACGGCTCTCTTTATGAGTTGGCCTTTGAATCATTGATTCACACGATTCGTTCAAAACGCGGATTCATTCAGAAACAAACAACGCTGTGCTGGTCGGAGGCGCGAAACAATTCTGCTGTGGCTTTAAAGGTAATATGTTCTCTGCAAAACTGAGCAAAAACATAATATTGTGTTTAAAATATAACAATATTAACTTCTTATTTACTGAACATATAAATATGAGACAAAAACTCATACAGGGGCATTTTTACCCCAATATCTTGCGTTTTAGGGCATAACTGCATTTATGGAGTTGTTGCCCTGCATCATATTTTTCAACAGTCAACTGTATGAAATGTTAGATGATGTACAGATGTGGGGGCGGGCCAGTCAGTTAACTGCTAATGGCGTTATTAACTAACTAATTAATTAAGTTAACGCATTAAACTGACAGCCCTAATTGTTTTACATTTTAAATATGTAGTATTTTTGTCTTTTTGTCCAGTAACATATTTATTTATAAAGTTATTTGAGAAGCAAAACTACCTAAGAACAAATTTAATTAGAGTTATAGTCTCTGAAAGTGTTATCTTGTGCAATTTTGCTTATGAAATACATTTACGAGACAGAAATACTGATTAAGTACTTATAAATATAACATTGGCACATTATATTCATGCGTTTGATGGCTTCTTCAGAATTCCAATTTGCAAAATATATTGTCACGCCACTTTTTTTAAGAATCAATTTTTTATATAGAATCAACTTGTCATATAAAATCTGGTTTTATACTGTGGACAGTACTGCATTTCAGCTCCTGGTGTAATTACAGAGTTTAAAGGTGTGTTTACATAATGTCCTGAAAATGTTTCACATGCATCCAGGCTCTCACATGGATGTGCTTCACATGGCTGCCTTATGCAAATCCAATGCTAAAAATTATGTTTCATCATTCAGTATTTATATTGACAATATACATTTGCTACATACAATATGTATATGCTATATTTAGTATATGTGTTTATATAGGCACACAAACATATCGTATATTCATATACTGTACAGGTACTAGATACAATATGAAAAACCTTTTTTATTTACTTGGCTTTAAAGTAGGCCTACCACTGAATGCTGCTTGAACTTTTTGTTTTTGAAATGCTTGTTTGTTGATTAAGTAAAAAAAAAGGCATTTTCTGCTCTACCAGTTATATTGTGTTTGCAAGACAACTTCCCAAGAGGATGATTTATAAAGACCTTATTAGACACAATTAAGATTAATGTCTCCTTTTTAATGAAAACCAGCACAGTTTACATACTGTATGACTATGCATTTAGCAGCGTGATATCAGTGGAGGCATTGCGTTTTGAAGGTCATACATGCCTCTGATTTGTAGTTAATTTAATATTATATTAAAACACACACACACACACAAAAGTTTTCTCTTTAATTTGCTTTGATATGTTTTGTTGCAGCATGTCCGTCACAAATCGTTCCCTTCATTCTTACTCATTTGCAATCAGTGTTGGAGAGGTTATTGCAAAAAGTAATTAGTTAATACATGCTAATTACTTTTTCAACATTGTAACAAATGACTTTCGAACAGTAATCATGTCACAATAACTTAAATCAAAGGTATATCAAATTGTCCTTTCACTTCTGTATTTGTTTAGTTTACAGGTTTTTCAACCAGTTGAAAGGAATCGTAATCACTTTGTTCAAAGCAATATTTATTGTTTAATGTTACGTTTAGGTTATAAATGAATCATTGTTCATTAAAATTGTAAATGCAATGTAATGACAAATAAAAGTAATTGTGACGGTGATTACTGAAAATGATTATCTAACTTCATTACAGGAAATTGTAATCTGATTACATTACTGCATTACTTTTCCTTTAAAAAAAAGTACTGTGGCAGTACCATGGTACAGTGATGGTTATACCATTGTCCTTTGGTATACCACGGTACTGAATGAATACCATGCTGTTTACATAGTACTCGGTAACTTAAAAAGAACATTGTTAGTACCATGGTACTTCTTTGTCACTGTCATAACATATTACACTCACTCAACAGCTCTCCATCCATATATATCCTCTCCATATTGTCCAGTCAGTGTTCATTTCCAATTGACAGCATGTTTTTCACTAAATCTTATTTTTTCTCTTTTCTTTTCTCATCCCCTCATTGCGGCAGGCGAGGAGCTGCTGGGGAACGAAGGTGCCAGGTATTTGAAGATGGAGGACTTAAAGGACCATGATGAGGATTTCCTTTCCCCCAAGAATGTTCTAGAGTACGAGGGAGAGTTGCAGTGATGATGTTGAAGATGATTCAGATTAACAAGAAGAGACACATGTATAAAGTAGAGGGGAGCTAAATTCAAAATGTTGCTGGAAGAAATTTCCAAGAATGTTTCAAACTAGATTGAAGAGAAAAGATCAGAGCCCAAACTGAGGAAAGGTCACCGAGATGAATAATGATGGGACTGGGGAACTGTCATTTACATATTCCTTTGTGTCGGACTTATTTCTAACTTGTGTTTCTTAGGAATCATTCTCCTGCTATTCCAAGGATCCCCTGTGTGTCTCCTGAAACAGTCATGCTGAAAGAACATGAAATGGAGCAGGTGAATGTTTTTTTTTTTTCATGAGTTCATTGTAGTTTCATAGGTCTCATTTTACAATTGTCTTTGACTCCTTATATTTTAAAATGTCAAAAGTTTGGGGTCACTACGTTTTTTTATATACTTTTATTCAGCAAGGACACATTCAATTGATCAAATGTGACTGTAAAGAAATTTATAATGTTACAACAGATATCTATTTCAAATAAATGTTGTTCTTTTGAACTTTCTATTCATCAAAGAATCCTGAAAAATGCATCACGGTTTTCAACTTTGATAGTAAGAAGAAATGTTTTTTGAACAGCAAATCAGCATATTAGAATGATTTCTGAAGGATCATGTGACAATGAAGACTGGAGCAGCAATGCAGAAAATTCAGCTTTAATCACAGGAATAAATTACATTTTAAAATGTATTACAGTAGAAAACGTTTATTTTAAATTGTAATGTCTCACAATAGCACTGTATTTACTGTCTGTTTGACCATTTTTTTCAGTTTTTTTCATCGGTGGGCTCGTTTCTATGTTTCTAGGTTTGATACAAGTCCACGATATAAGATATCTAAATGAGATATATATATATATATATATATACACACACACACACCACACGTGCAGAATTATTTATTATATAAACATAAAGAAGCAAATTACAAACCAAAAGACAAATACAATAGATACAAATTAAATATTAAATTAACTAATTTTTCTAATACAGTAGGTTTAACATGTATACATTTATTTAACATCTTTTGTTATTAAGATTAATGAGACAGACAGGTATTTAATTAGGCTGCTGTCCCTTTAAGACCGAATGAATGTAATATACTGACACATATATCCACCTGTTTACGTTCACTTAAGCCATAACCGACTGTATTTACGTGAGATACTCCAAATGATGGAGATTTTGGAAGCTGTGTGTGTATTTGACCATAAAGGCGCAAGGAGAACTGATCGCAGAACTGGGAAGCGGCAGAGAGAGCGCTTCTGTGTGTCATTCCGCGTATCTATCCCACCTTCACTTATTGCAATCGATAACAAATTGTGACAAGCTTAGTTACCTTCGATTAGGCTGTTCGCGTGACAGAACACTTCTACTACTTGCTCTGATCACCCAGTTGTAAAGAAATTTGGAAATTCTTGAAAAAACTTTTTTCAAAATAAGTCGGGACACTAAAAATTTAGCTAAAATAAGGGACTGTCCCGGGAAAAAACGGGATGTCTGGTCACCCTAATATAATACCATGCCTATACAAAAGTGTAGATATGATGGCATTACTGTCTGAAAGCATTATTGTACCATGTTACCACCAAAACACTTTTTAAGAGCTATTAGCCAAATGCAGATTTTACATTTATTTTTTTAACATTGTCAAATTTTTAGAAATTTGGAAATTCTTGAAAAAACTTGATTTTTTCAAAATAAGTCGGGACACTAAAAATTTAGCTAAAATAAGGGACTGTCCCGGGAAAAAACGGGATGTCTGGTCACCCTAATATAATACCATGCCTATACAAAAGTGTAGATATGATGGCATTACTGTCTGAAAGCATTATTGTACCATGTTACCACCAAAACACTTTTTAAGAGCTATTAGCCAAATGCAGATTTTACATTTATTTTTTTAACATTGTCAAATTTTTATTATTGTTTTTTTTATTATTATTTTTACACATCTACACATGTACAGCAGCACACCCCACTTCCTTTGCCCAAGGAGTATGATGAGGATTCACTGATCCCCAGTAGTCCGGCCACAGAGACGTCAGACAATGTCAGTCCAGTAGCAAGCCCCATCCACACTGGGTTAGTTTCTTGCCTCTGCCTGAAATATTGTGCACATTTTTGAGGAATCAAATACTTGAAATTGAAATATCATTAATTAATTAATTATGCATTGTCTTTGTCTTTATGGTTCTGCAGGTTCCTGGTGAGCTTCATGGTAGATGCTCGTGGCGGCTCAATGAGAGGCAGCAGACATAATGGCCTGCGTGTCATCATTCCTCCTCGTACCTGTGCCGCTCCAACACGCATCACCTGTCGCCTGGTGAAGCCGCAGAAACTTGCCACACCACCTCCTCTAAGACTTGAAAAGAATTTATTTAATACACGAGTTTCACAATTTGAGTTGAATTACTGAAATAAATGAACTTTTTCTCTCTGCCGCTTTTCCAATTCATATTTTTTGGCCAGAAGTAATGGTCTGAAGTTAAAAACGTCTTAATGGATTTGTTTCTTACAATCAAGCAGCTTTTAATTTCACTAGATGTTAATTGGTGGCCTGGAGTCATGTGGATTATTGTGATGTTTTTATCAGCTGTTTGGACTCATTCTGACGGCACCCATTCACTGCAGAGGATCCATTGGTGAGCAAATTATGTAATGGCTATTAATATTTGTATTAATAGCCAAAAATACATTGTATGGGTCAAAATTATCAATTTTTCTTTTATGCCAAAAATCATTAGGATATTAATTAAAGATCATGTTCCATAAAGATAGTTTGTAAATTTCTTACCGTAAATATATAAAAACTTAATTTTTGATTAGTAATATGCATTGCTAAGGACTTCATTTGGGCAGCTTTAAAGGCCATTTATTTCAATATTTTTATTTTTTTGCACCCTCAGATTCCAGATTTTCAAATAGTTGTATCTCTGCCACATATTGTACTATCCTAACAAACCATACATCAATGGAAAGCTTATTTATTCAGCTTTCAGATGATGTATAAAATAAAATTTCCTCTTATGACTGGTTTTGTGGTCCAGGGTCACAAATGTACAGTGTTTCAGTGAACTGTGATAATTTTGTCTCATTGTATCATATTGTCTTTTCTCTATTAACTGCACACTAAAGACCTTGAGAGTCAGGAGGAACTTGAGAAGAAAAGAATCAGGCGCATCATCTCGACTGACTTCCCACTCTACTTTGCTGTGGTGTCCCGTATCCAGCAGGAGAACGATCTGATTGGCCCAGAAGGGGGTTCTCTCACCAGTAAGCTGGTGCCCTTGGTCCAGGCCAATTTTCCTGAGACAGCCGTCACTAAGCGTGTCCGTCTCGGACTGCAGGTGAGATGGGAGGATGATGAGGAGGAAGATGTGATGGAAAATGGAGGAAGCTTATCTCCTGCATATTATCATAATGTATCTGACAGCTTTTAGTTTTTGTTGTTGTTGTTGTTGTTTTCCTGTCTGGTCATGAGACATCAAACGTGACAAAACATCTCATCTTTCATCTCTCAAAATGAATTATGGGCTCAGCTGTCAATGTGAATGAATGTAATTTTGTAAGTTGTTTAGATCTCTATGATTGAGTTTGATGATGGTAAAAATTAATGATGAAATATGGTATAGTATGAGATGGTATGCTATCTGTCTACTTCCTGCTTAAATTAAACATAGGTTATTTCTACAGATGACCATATACAGACAGATTTACAGTGCAGTAAAAAGTAGTGCATAAAAACAGCAAAAGTTGAGAATGGATGAAAGTTTTGCAGGTTTTGATTGAGGGAATTGTAAGTTGAGGAGGATAAAAGACACGGAAGTTGAAGCTCATTGAAATTGTGAGAGTTTTAATTGAATGATGAACATTTTCTGTACTATTACAAATATCTGAAGCACCTTATAAAAGCAAACTTCCATAAGATAAATTGTCTTACTGAATTACTGTACTACCTTTTGAAATTTTTATTAGATTTTTTTAAAACTTTATTAGCTACACAAAAAAAAGTAAAATGCAGTTTTATATTTTAAATGTAAAAACCTAGAACTTAGAATGAAATGATCGTGCAGGACTGCATGTGTTTATTTATGTTTTCTTTGCCCTGCAAGTGTAACAACCAGCTCATACCAAAGCTGATTTTTTCCCCCTTGTTTTTAACCCATCATTTGTTTAATCATCTGTGTCATTTGTTTCATTATTATTCTTCTGTTTTGCTTCATTTTTGTTGTTTCTTCTTTTTGAGAATCGACCTAATAATTGACAACTCTAAATGTATTGACAAACTTGATCAGTTCCCATTGTGCTGAATTCTAAACAGTTCATTTATATATTTTTTGTGTTGTTTAAAACACTGGTTGTCAGGAAGTCAGTTATTTTGAGGTGGCATAAAATGAAATTGACCTTAATAGTTCATATATTTTGCCGCAATAACATACAGAAGTATTTTTCAGTTTTCTCATATTCTTGGACGATTTCTCAGGTCGGTTCAATGACACTGACTGGCACTGACCACTGATTCTTAACATAACTTAAAATGTTGGACCATGATACACTATATATACCAAGCTCTGTGAGAAAGACTTTCTGTCTAATGTTGCTCAATACCTCCTCTCCTGATCCAACAGTGTGCAATAAATATGTGCTTAAAGGAATAGTTCACCCCAAAATGAAAATTTGCTATTAATTTACTCACCTTCAGGCCATTCAAGATGTAGGTGACTTTTTGTCTTGAGTCGAACAGTAAAAAAATATTTTTGCCGTGGTGATTTGTGATTCAATAAATGCAAGTCTGCAGCTACCCGTATTTGAGAATAAAAAAAGCATATCAAAGAACACAAAATTAATACCTGTGGCTTCTGACAATATATTGAGGTCTTATTAAGCGAAACGATTGGTCTTTGTAAGAATCTAAACATTGTTTACAACATTATTACCTGTAATCCATTGCCTCAGGCAAACAGGGAAATATGATTCTTTTCAGCGAAACCTCATTTTACATAAACAAAGAGAAACTATAAAAACTTTCATTTGGCCCCTTCATTGAAGTGCTTGGTTCACGCATGTGCATATCAGAGGCTTATTCGAGTCTGAGTCTAACTGTTTTCTCAGTTCAGTAACTGTTGGAGGAAGTGGAGCACTAAATGAGTTCATTCATCAAAGGATCAGATTCGCAAGTATTTTAGCTCATTTCGAGTCAGAGTGACTTTTAGGTGTCCAAAAGTGAGTTTTATTGAGTAGCATAGATCTGTGCTGCTCGATCCGCAAACTTGTTTCAGACTGTTCGGAGCGTGTGTCTGAGGCTCTGGATTACAGGTAATAATGTTGTAAATAATGTTCAGTTTCTTGCACAGATTGATAATTTTGCTTCACAAGACCTCAATATATCATCAGGAGCCATGGGTATTAATTTTGTGCTGCCTGTATATGCTTTTATTGACGGCAGCCACTAAATTGCATTTTATGAATCCCCAAGGGCCAAGGTTTCATCCAAAAATCTTCTTTACTGTTCCACTGAAGAAAAAAGTCACCTATATCTTGGATGGCCTGAGGGTGAGCATTAATAAATAACACAGTCATTATAATGAACTGCACACTCAAAGATCTTCGAAAGCTTTATAACAATACAGGGTCGACTTGTTGTGTCTGTGTCTTGTACTGCAAGTGAATTAATTTTGCACCAGCTTTGGTTCAATAATGTTTGTAACTCTTTTTCCAGTTAATAAATAAGACTGATTGACAAGCTAAATTTGGTGTCTTGAATTGCATTGTGCAATAATTGCAATAATAAGAAAACAGAAATATATTGAGATATTTTCTGTCTCTTCTTTTCCCTGATTTCTCTCATGAAAATATGTTTGGTACACATTTCTGAACTGAATCTCCCTCTCATGCATTCATATGCAAATATACCATTGCTCACACTACCAAATCTATTTCTTCTGACTTTCATTCCATGTTCTCTTTCACCTTTGCTCTTCCCCACCCCTATCTTTTACTTTGTGCTCTACCACTCTGTTATGGTTTCTTCTCCCCCTCCATCCTCGACACTCAGGCACAGCCAGTCCCTGATGAGCTGGTGGCCAAGCTTCTGGGGAACCAAGCCACATTCAGCCCTGTCGTGACAGTAGAGCCTCGTCGGCGCAAGTTTCACCGTCCCATCGGCCTGAGGATGCCACTGCCTCCCTCCTGGAGGGAAAGTCCACGGGACGCTGGCGAGGGCGACACCACCAGCCTCCGCCTGCTCTGCAGTGTCATCGGTAAAAATCAGCCAAACATGTTTACATTGGGGAACAAAAATCTTGATAATTATTTTCTTGTGAAAATATCTAATCATCTACATTTATTTTTCTTGTCCTATTCGAAAATAGAAAATCTTTCTTTTTTTCAGATTTATGTAATTGTAAGTGTTATTCTTAAGTAAAACTATTTAGAATTTTTTTTTTCATGGAAAAGATAAATAAGAGAAAATATAAATACTAGATGAAAAAAACAACCTTAAAATATGACAATTAGAAAATGACTGAAATAAAATTTTTAGGTACAAGTACAAAAATTACTCAAACTACATATTAAAAAACAAGAACGAATAAAAATGACAAAAATACTAAAACTTAAATTCAAATGAAATCTAAAAAATATAAAAATACAACTAATTTGACATTAATAAATACTATAATGCTATATGAATAGTAATAATGTTGCAAATCAATTAGAATTTTCCTTCTCGATAATCTTATTTTAAGGATATTTAAATATTTTTACTGGCGAACAAGACAAAAATACTGATTGGGAAAATTAGTTTATATAATTTTATATGTATTTTTAGAAAAAAAATAAGTAATAATTACAAATACATATATAGGAAATAGGAACTAGTTCAAATTGATGAAGTGTTTTGCTTTAATGTTAATATACTTCTTATACCCGTATACATACAACTAAGGAAGCTGATCGTAGTTTGACCACTAAATAATGAGGCTGTGGTGCTTTAAAATATTTTAATAGTTTTTCGAGATGAAGAAAAAAAAGAAAAATAAAGAGACTTCTTTAGAAAATGTTGAGAAAAAAAAATTTGTCAAATTATTTTTGCTATTCCATTTATTTGCCACTAGCGGCACAGAAATTACACTGCTCAGCAAATGTGCAAGAGTGATCAATGTAAGCATTAGTGTTTTAAGGTTAAAAAATATAAATTTATCATCATTTTAAAAACAAATGACCCAGAATGATCAAATACGGTTCCTGAGCAAGGCTCTTTTTTTAAACACCTTTAAAATAAAGACACGTCTATTGCATATTTACTTTCTCTACATTTCATAGGCGGCACGGCTCCAGCCCAGTGGGAAGATATAACTGGCACCACCAAACTTATTTATGCCAATGACTGCGCCAGTTTCACCACCAATGTCTCTGCCCGGTAAGTATCATAACCTGCACATCACATGTTAGTTTATTTCAGAAGTTCTCAATGTGTGTCGTCGTCACAGCAATATGTTATTATTCAACCTTGGTTATATTAAAAATGTGACTCAAATCTGTTTTGCTCTCCCACAGTTTCTGGCTGACAGACTGTCCTCGGACGGCAGAGGCCGTGTCCTTTGCCAACCTCCTGTACCGTGAGCTGTCGGCCGTGCCGTACATGGCCAAGTTTGTAGTTTTTGCAAAGATGAATGAAGCACGAGAGGGTCGACTCCGCTGTTATTGCATGACTGATGACAAAATGGACAAAACCCTGGAGCAGCACGAGAACTTTACTGAAGTGGCTCGCAGTAGAGACATCGAGGTCATATGATATAGTGTGTTACAGACTTCATATAGACGACCATGTGTTTACAGCAACTGGTGTTATTTCTACAATGAAGTATCTTTTACATTAAAACTTAAAACAGCATCTGAAAGAACAGGGAAAGAAATATTATTAAAGTCAGTATGAAATAAAAATGGACCCTGTTAACTTCAACTCACATTCTTGGTCTTTCTGTACCTGATTAATTTACTCCAAACTAAAGTACTAACAATAATAATTCATCATATAAACATAGTAACTCACTAAATTTTGATGCAGAAGCAATTTCCTCTCAGAAATTGTGAATTCCTCTCAAAAAAATAACTCTCCATAATCCAACGCAAACTTGCATTTGAGGTCTGGCTACCTTCTGGAATAAAACATGTTTTTCATAATCCAATCAAATTCAAGCTCACAGTTTTTAATCTCTTTGAATATTCTTAAATATAAACATTACAGAAGCAAATATGTTGTTGATGTTTCACACTGACTTTGCTAGATATTATCAGATGTTTAATTTAAGCTGCATCTGCTGGTTGCCGTATGTTCTGTAGGTCATGGAGGGAATGCCGCTGTATTTGGAGTGTTCAGGAAACTTGGTTCCCATAAGGAAGGCAGCACAGCAGCCCCGCTGTTTCAGCTTCCAAGCCTTCAAAGACAACAGACTGCCTGTGTCTGTGAAGGTAAAGTCATCACAGCCAGTTACAGTACATGTTTACCTTATTTACTCCAAATTGTATTCTTTCACCCATAGTGAACTAGAATCTAGATTAGTTTATTTCTTCGTTAGATTTGGAGAAATGTAGTATTACATCACTTGCTCACCATTGGATCCTCTGTAGTGAATGGGTGCCGTCAGAATGAGAGTCCAAACAGCCGATAAATACATTACAATAATCCACAAGTAATCCACATAACATTTTGTAAAAAGATGAAAAGCTGCGTGTTTGGAAGAAACAAATCCATCAAGACGTTTTAACTTTAAACCATTGCTTACAGCTAAAATATGAGTCCATAATCCATAATAGCACTTCCTCCAGTGAAAAAATCCATCTCCTGTTGGAAGGAATGGTTTGAAGTTAAAAATGTCTAAATGGATTTGTTTCTTACAAACACGCAGCTTTTCACCTCACATATATCATAATATATATGATAACATATATCAAAGATATTGATGGACTGGAGTCATGTGGATTTCTTGTGGGTTATTGAGATAACTTTCATTCTGATGGCACCCATTCACTGCAGAAGATCCACAAAAGAAATGGGACATTCTGCAAAAAGTCTTCTTTTGTGTTCTTTTGGAGAAATATATATTTAACGTCCATGAACGGTGGCACCAGCTGATGACCCTGCAGCTGACCCAAAAGGTGCACTGGAGGAGGTGCAGCAGGCAGAAATGTCAAGCAGGAAACACCATCTGTATATTGAAATGGCAATGCTGGGGAACCAGTGACTGCTGTGAAACTGCAGTTGGCAGCCAGGAAAGTCTGGTGGACAGTCGGGAAAGACCAGCGGACGGCAGGAAAGACTGCACCAGGTGTGGGCGGTTAGTCACCTTACCCACAAGCTTCCCACAAGGGAGCACCTCAACTGACTACAAAACGGAATAAGAAAAGACAACCCGAAGGCCCTCCGAGAGGCGGGGTGGAAGATGGGCCTACTTTGACGGATCATACGGTAATGAACGGAACGCATAATGACGAGAAGTTCCTCCGGAAATGCACATGTGGGTGGCAGAAGGTGACTTCGCTCAGAGGCCTGCAGATCCATCAAGGGAGGATGAAGTGTGGGAGGACGCCCAACCAGCACAACCGCATTGTTTCGGCAGGTCAGACGGAAGGGATCCCAAAGCCTGGTAGCAAACCATAGCGCAGCAGGACCCGACAGTGCTGAGAGGGCAACCTCAGCATATGAAGGAGAAGAGATGGAGGCAACCCTCGAGAGCAAGATGCGCACTGTCACCTCACAAGTCACACAACCAGGAATCCAACGCAAACATCCAGAAAGGCGCATCAAGATCAAGTGGCCAAAGGCGAATATGCAAGAGGATTGGTGCAGGCTCGACGAATACCTTAGTGGAGTGCTGCAGCATTCTTTGCGAGGAACAGTTAAGCGTAAGCTAACCTTGATGGGAAACATGATATATGAGGAGTGCAGAGAGAGGTTTGCCCCATAAAAAAAACATAGCCCCAAGACAAAAAGGACGGAGGGAGAAACACATCGAGTTGCTCATATCAGACAGGCGTCACCTGAGAAAGAGGTGGAGGAAAGCAGCCCCAGAGGAAAAAGAAGGCCTCAAGCTATTATGGGATGACCTTAAGCAGAGGCTGGCCAAGCTACGCCGGGCAGAGCGGATCAGGAGGCGGAGGAAACGGAAGGAGAAGGAGAGGAAGAACTTCTTCAAAGACCCTTTCAAGTATGCCCGTCAGCTGCTGGATGAGAAGCGGAGCGGCAAGCTGGCCATCACTAAAGAGGATCTGGTACTTTATATCAAGGGCCAGTATACGGATGCAGCCAAAGAGACACCACTTGGCTCACCAGGTTATGTGCCACGCCCAGATCCCCCAAGGACCCCTTTCAACACCTCCCCACCCAGGTTGTGTGAGATTAGAGAGGTCCTCAAAAAGGCCAGATCAGCCTCAGCACCAGGTCCAAATGGGCTCCCATACAAGGTGTACAAGAACTGTCCACAAGTGACGAAGATCTTGTGGAAGCTCATGCAGGTTGTGTGGAAGAACCAATCCATTCCAGCTGAGTGGCAAGAGGCAGTTGGAATCTTCATTCCTAAGGAGTGGAATTCCATGACCATTAATCAGTTCAGGAGCATTGCCTTGCTGAACGTAGAAGGGAAACTGTTCTTCTCAGTTTTGGCAAGAAGGATGAACAGCTTCCTTAGCAGCAACCACTACATCGACACAAGTTGTCAAAAGGCAGGGCTCTCAGGTTTTCCAGGATGTATTGAACCCACATCCGTGATCTGGGAGCAGATACAACGTGCCAAAAGAGAGAAGAGCGAACTTCATGTGGTGTGGCTTGACTTGGCGAACGCTTATGGTTCAGTACCACATAAGCTGGTTGAGTTTGCGTTGGAATTCTTCCACATTCCAGCATGTGTAATTATCATCATAGCCAAGTATTTTAACAACCTGCGCATGTGTTTCTCTCTCGATGGCCGCACAACTGGATGGCAGCAGGGGGAGGTCGGTATAGCCATGGGCTGCTCAATATCCCCTATCCTGTTTGTGGCAACATTTGAAGTCATCCTCATCGGAGCAAGACAGATGGCCAGAGGGCTGCGATTACTGTCAGGAGTAAGACTCCCGGCACTGAGAGGGTACATGGATGATGTGACAACCATCTTACAGACAGCTCCATGTAGAGCCCGGCTCCTCAAGCGCCTTGACGAGCTGATACAATGGGCTAGGATGAAGATTAAGCCCTCAAAGTCTAGGAGCCTTTCAATCAGGAAAGGGGTGAGGGACGACAGGACAGTGTTCACAGCAGGAGGGGAGAAGATACCATTGTTGAAAGAGCAACCCGTCCGAAGTCTTGGAAGGGAGTATACATCAGAGCTCTCCGACAGACAGATGGGGAAGTTGGTGCAGAAGCAACTGAGAGAGGGGCTTGAAAAAATCGACAGCAGCCAGCTTCCGGGGAAACTGAAGGTATGGTGTTACCAATTCACACTTTTCCAGTGTGTGTGATGTAGCCCCTGAAGGTGTCCGAAATACCATCATCCCTGGTTAGCAGAATGGACACCATCTCCAACACCTACATCAGGAAGTGGTTGGGCCTCCCACACTGCTTCTCTGACACAGGCCTCTTTGGCAAGAATGCTCTTCAGCTTCCTTTGAAGTCCATCAACCTCGGGTACAAGCAGGAGAAGACCCGTCTTGTATTCGAACTAAAGGAATCCAGGGACGAAGCAGTGAAGAGCACATGGGTGACCATCCGCACTGGGCGCAGATGGAGGGCCCAGCGGGAAGTAAATAAAGCCATTAACAGGCTACAACACAAGGAGGTCATGGGAAGAGTCCAACACAGCCGAGCAGGGTTGGGCTGGGGAGAGCCAGTCCAGTTCAGGTCCAAAGCAACAAGGGAGCAGAGGAAGTCCATGGTGGTGGAAGAGGTCTCATGAGTGGAACAGGACCGTTACCTCATTAAGGCTGTTTCCCAGGGAAAACAAGGAGCATGGACCCGCTGGGAGGATAGTACTAACAGGGTCATAACCTGGTCAGATATCTGGCAAACCCCGCAGCCGCGGCTCAGCTTCCTCGTGAGGGCAGTGTATGACACCCTCCCTTGTCCCAGAAATCTCTCCCAGTGGTTCGGAAGTGAGGACAAGTGCCCCCTGTGCAATGAAGCCAATGCAGGCCTTCGACATATCTTGTCGGGGTGTAACATTGCTTTGACGCAGGGCCACTTTAGATGGCGGCATAATCAGGTGCTGAGGAAGTTGGCGGAGCAGTTGGAAAGATGTAGAGTCTGGGCAGATAGCTCTTCAGATCCCATTTGGCCAAACATCCTGTTCCTCAGACCAGGAGAAGCGTGCAGAAGACAGTGGCGGGAAGGACAACATGTCTGCTCACTCCTGGAAAGGGATGGAAGATGCGGATAAGCAAAGAAATTCAATCCCGTAGAAGTTGGATGCAGGGGCTTCGTGGGAAAGTCCGCAATCCAGCTCCTTCGAGCTGCTGGGACAACTGGGGCAAGCCTGAGGAGAGCCATCAAGGAGCTGGCGGAGGAGGCAGAGAAGGCAAGCTACTGGTTGTGGCTAAGGAGGAGGGACAGGAATTGGGGCTCGGTACCCCAGTGAGGGCAGCTGCAGGGGGTGGCGGGGAGACGTCCCAATAAGCCACTGCCCCCTCCACCGGGAGACGTACTGGATAGGGGGCGAAACGTCCATGAACGGTGGTACCAGCTGATGACTCTGCAGCTGACCCAAAAGGTGCACTGGAGGAGGTGCGGCAGGCAGAAATGTCAAAGCAGGAAACACCATCTGTATATTGAAATAGATATATAGATATAGATATATCTCATGCCTATGAAAAAAATAATGACTATATTTCCAGAAAGAAAGCACTGCATAATGAATAGTTTTCTTTAATATTTCTGAACAAATAGTTGCCTTGGTATATGTTGGAATATATTTTGGGATATCCACCTCTTTCTCCTTTGCCCAGGTGAGGGACAGCAATAAAGATCCCTCTGGTTTCTTGTCTTTCTTGCGCAAATCAACCAAATACGAAGATAGTCAACATGTGTTGTGCAACCTCAACGTTACCATGCCGCCATGCATTAAGGTAACATGGCAAATGAAACTTGCATATTCTTCAAGAAAAGTGGAGCATAAATACAGCACTACAGCATAAATCTATGAGGAAAAAAGAAAATAAATATGCAGTGCTTTCAAAATGTTAGCTTTGTCCACTTGGTTTTATTGATTATTGATTTGTCAATTTGTTATTATAATAGTCTTTTATTGAGTGCCACAAATGTAGCCCTCATACTTAAGCAAATTATAATTTAGTCTAAAATTAGTCATTTAATAGTGAAGGAACATATTAATTCATGCCGGGGCATAATGTATCATATCTAATTCCTGTGCAGAGTTGGGACGTGAACTGCAGTTTAATGTAGATGAAATAAATAAGATCCGTGTGGAGAATCCCAACTCCCTTTTAGAGCAGAGCTCAACACTGCTCAACCTGTGGGCCGCTCGAGAGGGGAAGAGAGCCAAAAGTGAGTATCATAGTGTCCATTCACAATGAATACCTAAATTATTTGCAAGCCAATGTAACCTTATTCATCTGTCTCATGTGACGTAACTATATGAACATGCTGCCATATTTGTTGCTATAAGTATCAGCATGCTTTTAATGTGCAGCGCTGTGGGATTCAACAAAGGTACCCTTACGAAAAAGAAGTTTATTCAAGTGTGCTATTAGTATACTTCTTTTAAACAAAAAAATAGGAAGGTATACTTTTAGTTTACTTTTTATGTACTTCTCAGAAATATACTTAAAATTACATTTACGTATACTTGACTTATACTTAGAAAAAGCCTAAATATATCTGAGCTATACTTGTGCTCCTATAATCTGTGTTTTCATTGTTATACGGTAGGGGGCACTAGTTCACATCTTCTGTACAGAATTTCCAAAAAAACACAAGTGAAGAAGAAACCGAAACAACAGATGCTTCCACATGTAATCTAGCACGATCATCAGACATAAAACAGCATCAAAACTGTGTAACGTTATGGAATAAAATGTCGACCAATTAAGAGGTAATAATGACTGTCAAGCTTTGGGGTGTTTAGCGACTCTATCTACGTTTTGATTATCATTCTGAATCCAATTCATAGTCTTTTTTTCAGCATTTTGTTCAAAATATTATTTCTTTATTTTTTTATTTATGAAACTTACCCACATTCAAGTGTTTAAAAAAGAATGCATGAAGCTAGAATAAAATGTTTTTGTTTACAAGCAGATACCCTGTTCTTTCTTTTGATGTTTTGTATGTTCAGATATTCATATAACAAAATATATACAAATTAATACCTAAATAGGAACATAGTAGTATATTTAAAGTATGATGTAAAGTTCACTTAAAGAAAACTTATAAGTATACTTGCAGTATAAAACTACTAAACTAGTAGTTTACTGAGACTATACTTCAAAGTGTATTAAAAATGCTTCAAGTATTTAATTAGTAAACTATCAGTATACCTAGAAGTTCACTTTTAGCATAGTTGCAGTACAAGCTAAAAATATTGATGTAAACTAGTTGTGTACTCAAAGTTTACTACTGTTATACTTAAAGTATACTTAAAAGTATACTTTTATATACTAGAAAGTGGGCCAATGTAGTCCCAATAATTATTGAAATAGTACACTAACAAGTATGCTACTAGTACACTGATATTTGTATACTTACTACATAAAGTATACTTAAAAATATACTTGAACTTTACTTAAGTATACTTAATAAAATAAACTTGAAGTATACTACTTTTTGGTAAGGGTAGCTAAACTTTTGTTTCTGTTTATAAAACTTTAGAAAGTGAGTGCCTAGATTGCGGGTATGCAAATTTGCAGTCTTGCTGCGTTTCAGGCCCCTTCCCCTTATCATGCAGTCTCCTCTCTCTAACCACCCCTCTACCTTCCCATCTTACCAACGCTTTCCATGTGCTGCGTTTCAGGCCCCTTCCCCTTATCATGCAGTCTCCTCTCTCTAACCACCCCTCTACCTTCCCATCTTACCAACGCTTTCCATGCCCCCATATCTGAACCCTTTTCAAATCAGAGGTAGATATAACTGTTGTTGAATTAAGAGGGTTTCATGTCACCTTATGGCTGCACCCCACTTTCTGACTCCATTTAGATAAGGATGCCACGTTGATTGATTGTTTTTGCTGAAATATCAGTGATTAGGTTTGATGTCAATAGCCCTATTCGGACAGTAATTGTTTCTCATGTGGACGTCTGTAATAATACTCAAGGATATGGATGGCGGTTTATTTACAGTAGAATAACGAGGTCTGTGATCCAACGAACACAGGAACGAGCTGCTCACGTGGTCAGTCGCATGATTGTCCACTGTAAATAAAATGTTGTGCTAGGAATAATAAGAATAAATAAGTTCATGTTTAATAATATCCTATTTATTATTTAAATCTCCTGTTAAAAATATGAAAATAGATGTGCTATATTTGAAATGTTTTTTTTGATAGACCTCATTTTTTTGTGTATGTGAATGTAGGCCTATATACTCCATATATATTAAAATTGTATTGCATACCTGTTGCTGCCATAATAATGTCCCATTTCAAATGTTTATGTGCTTTTCTTCTCTTTCTTTGTTCTTAACAGCTCCCACTCGCTGTGGTGGAGCATTTATGAACTATTGTTCTTGTAAATACTTTCTAGCATTTCAGTATTATTTTTTTCAGTGGATCTTGTGGATTCAGACGGCAATTAAATTACCACAGAACCTTGGTGTTTGTCAAAAAACAGTAGGTCATTTTGCCAGGGATTTTTCCGGGGGTGATGGAAGAAAAATACCTGCATTCTAGATTCGGACGGCAATAAAATCACAGACTAACCCCTGTAAATGCTGGAAATTGCTTACGTCCCCATGAGAAACAGTTACTATTCGATTCAGCCTGAGAAAATTATTTATATTCAAGAAACACAGGAATTGACACACAGGATGTTCTATTTTCAATCTAAAAATTATTTTATTAATAATTTGTGTAGGAGATCCCACCAAAAAATGCTTGGTTACACAATCGCCATGGAGAACAATCTGCTTTCGTGATATGTGTGTTTTCCTGCGGAAGAACTGTGGCTCAAATCAGAGCAGGACAATAATTGTCAGTTCTCTATCAGTCAAATAATTTCAATAGAGACACTCTATTAGAAGATCTTTAAGCGTGCCTTTAGGCAGTGAGAATTGCCCATTTCTGTATAAAGTTGGGCAGCAGCCCAATTCTCATTCAGAATTTTGCTCTTCAAGACTCGCTCTTTAAGCTCTTGATTGCTAGTGTATCAGGAAACTGTTAATAAAACAATGGAGAAGCACTGAGGAAATCATTCAGTTACCAGAAAGTTGTGATGTTTGTGTACTTCCATTTCTGTCCATTACTCCGGCCACAGCTAGCGAACGGGTTATTGGGAAGTTACATGCAACAATTTTATTTTTTTCGAGTGGGTGCCTCAGCCACTTCAGCTTGCTAGAAGACTGTGCTCTAGCTAGAACAAAACATTCCTCAGTTATAATGAGTGCCACTGCACACAAAGTAAGCCAAACAATACAGCCTTGCCCAAATGCGTGTGGCAATCATATGAGAGGAAGGACTTGAACCAGGTGTGGACTTCTTGCCTGGGACTGGAGCATTGGAGCACTGTTTCTGGAACCTCCCTAACAGTGCACCTTTTGTAATTCTCCCTAATCAAACACACTGGTTAAGGTCATCAGCTCGTTAATAGACACTCCAAGACCTGAAATTAGTGTGTCAGACAAATGAGACATTCAAAATGTGCAGTGTTGAAGGGCTCCAGTTTGGGAACTATTCAATGTACCCAGGCTGCTATTGCTTGTGGTGTAGAAGTGGTGCAATTCTAGCTGAGATTTGAGTCTCCTAACTGCCCCAGTCTAATTACGGCTGTAGAGGACTAGGCCCAGTCAGCTAAATGAAATGCACAACTGACTCTACCATGGCATATTCCTTCCCAGTCCAAGCAGGATAAGCCATCTGAAGAGGATGCCAAATTGCCAATACGTTTGTTCAAGACACAATGTGGTTTCTCTTCTTCACAGCCAAGGCCGTTTATCGCCAAGCCATTGAGCACCTAGAGGTTGAATATGTCAGGGTTGGGGATGAAGGGATGAGGTGAGGACTCAATGGTGCAGGAGATAAGGCCCTTTTATTAAAAATAAACAACAAAAACTACCCCCGTGGAGGAAAAACTGGCAGGCAAGGCAAGATCAGGACACATCCAGGGTGATAAGATGACAAACTGGCACGGGACTGCAAACACAAGGAGAATAAATAGGGAGCAAATGAGGAGGGTAACGAGAGAACACATGTGGGGCAAATTAACCAATAATCAGGTAACAAGATGGGTGGGGTCAAGACAATTGACATGAGAGCACATGGCACACAGGAAACAAAGACAAAAGCCATGTGCTCACACAAAACAAACACAAGCACATGGCCAGCAAAACAAACACAAGCCATGTGCTTGAACAAAACAATACACGAACAAGCAGCTAATGAGAAAACTCATAAGCCGCGTGTTCACACAAGACAAGACAGCACGCAGCCAGCGAAAACCAAACCGCGTGCTACACAATACACACGTGGACAGAAGAGTGCACGGCCGAGCGAACTCGAGACCGCACGCTCCCACAACAGACAGAACATGGAGCACGAGTGTCCGAATCCCGACACGAAATTGAAACTCAACAAGACATGAGTGCCGAGATCTGAACACCAACATGAAACAGGACACACAGACGAGAGTGCACGGCTCGAGCACTCTCGAAGATGCGCGCTCACATGAAAACAACGACACGACGGGAGTGTCAGTGCTCTGTCACAAAACCATGAATTACACTGGACCGAAGTGACAGAACCGTGACAGAATGGCCAGCAAACATGCAATTCCTACTTTCCTATGTTGCAGAACTCCAGGCTGACCTGGTCAAAACCTTTGATTAAGGGACTAGTGGAAGGAAATACGCACAACAATGGATCTTGTCATCGGGACAATACAGTGCACCAAACAGGCTGTGGGATTAATTGTGGCAGCTCAAGGGCATCTGTGACTGAACATCTCTAAGACCATTGATAATAGCCCCCTGTTGTTCCTAGACACCTCACTATCCCCAGATGGGCTTTTTAGTTCAGCAGTGGCAGCTATGCAGGCCCACTGTAAATCTAAGAAGAAAAAAGAATGAGGCTTTCAGTTGTCACCTGCTCTGTAGAGGAACTGGAGAGGATCTGCAAGGAGGAATGGCAGAGGATCCCCAAATCCAAGTGTGAAAAACTTGTTGCATCTTTCCCAAAAAGACTCATGGCTGTATTAGATCAAAAGGGTGCTTCTTCTAAATACTGAGCAAAGGGTCTAATACTTACGACCATGTGATATTTCAGTTTTTCTTTTTTAATAAATCTGCAAAAATGTCAACAATTCTGTGTTTTTCTGTCAATATGGGGTGCTGTGTGTACATTAATGAGGGAAAAAATTAACTTAAATGATTTTAGCAAATGGCTGCAATATAACAAAGAGTGAAAAATTTAAGGGGGTCTGAATACTTTCCGTACCCACTGTATATATAATATAACTTTGCTTATATAATATAAATATAACTTTGCTATAATTTTGAATATTTGCTTTCGATAAGACTTGATTAGTTTAAAAGTAGACATGTCAAGCTTTCTATAGATATCTCTCTCTCTTTGTTGAGTATTTGCTGAGTTACAGTTCATTTTAATGACGCGTTTCTAAATGAAGATCACGCAGACCAAGGCAGCAGACTGCACGATGCAGATGGGCACAGTGAGTGCGTCGCCTGTCTGGGCAGCGCCCACGCAGAGGCTGCGCTCACTGAGACAGCATGCTCTCACTATGAGAGCATGAGTCTCGCCCTCTCCGCTCACGGACCGTCCTTCTTTAATGAACTCATGTCATCACAGCTCCCTCGTGCTTAAATCTCCCCCCAATGCCTCAATCTGCCTATGTGCTTTACACTTGAGGATCAGCGCCCGTCATCAGCTAGAAGCGGCTTGATTTTCTTTGGCTCATCTGAGGAGGAAGCTGTCATTGATGACTCCATGTCATTAATGGCTTCGGATGCTGAAGAGTGGGCGTGTTTTCCCGTGAAAAGAGCGTGAAGAGCCCGAGTTGCCTGACGCAGACAACATGGCCCAGCGTGGACAGCGAGCTGATCCCCATTCTAACTAAGGCTGTGGAGGATCTCAGCCTGGCTTGGTTAGCTCCGGAAGAGCCTGCCCATGGCCTCCTTGATGAGTGGTACCTGAAGGGACACCGTCAACATTCCTCTCGCCAACGCCCCACTCTGTTCCTGCCGGCAGTTCACAAGGAACTCACCGGGATGTTGCGTACCCCCTACTTGGAGCGTGTTAATCCTTCTATTTCCACCGCTCTCACCACTGTTGACAGCGCTGAACAAAGGGGTTATATCAAGCTCCCCCCTCTGGAAGAGGCGGTCGCTGCGCATCTGTGACCTCCATCGTCCCTGTGGTTGAAAGCCCATGCAGTGCATCCATCTAAGCCCAGCAGGACTACCTCAGCCCTAGCAAACAGGGCTTATTCAGCAGCTGGCCAGGCTAGCTCAGTGCGTCACATGATGGTGGTGCTTTAAGTGTTCCAGGCCAAACTTCTCCACACCATGGATAAGTCCAGCCAGAGTTCTGATGTCTTTAGAGAGCTGCGCACTGCGACAGACCTGGCTCTGTGTGCTAATAAGGCCACTGCGCAGGCGATCGGCATGGCCATGGCCAATTTGGTGGTGCTGGAGCGCCACCTTTGGCTGAATTTGAAAGAAATCAGGGACGCTGCCAAGTTCGCCTTCCTAGACTCTCCAGTCCCTCCTAAGGGACTGTTTGGCCCTGCCGTGATTGGGTTTGCAGAGCGGTTTACAGTGGTGTCATTCAAATTAGGGACTTCACGTCTCCTCAGGGCTTTCCAGAGGATGCTCAGCCTCATATCGGCCCCTGCCGTGGATGGGTTTGTAGAGCGGTTTACAGCAGCGTCATTCAAATTAGGGACTCCACGTCCCCTCGGGGCTTTCCAGAGGATGCTCAGCCTCATGTCGGCCGCCTCCTCTGTGATTCCTCTGGGCCTGTTCAACATGCAGCCCCTTCAGAAGGTTCTCACGACAGATGCCTCCAACTCTGGTTGGGGAGCTCTGCACGAGGGCAGACCGGCATCTGGCTCCTAGTCAAACCTGGAGCAGCACTTACTCATCAACTGCCTCAAGATGATGGCCCTTAAAACCTTCCTGCTGGCCTTAAGGGGCACCACGTCCTGGTCCATTCGGACAACATGATGATAGCCTTTATCAATCATCAAGGCTGTCTCAGATCACACTACCTTCACACGTTGGCTCGAGGCCTCATTTTATAGGCACAGGGCAAACTCCTCTCACTGAGAGCAGTTCATGTGCTGGGCAGACTGAACCAGGGGTCAGACATGCTGCCCAGGGACAATGTAGATCCAGGAGAATAGAGACTACATCCCCAAACGGTTCAAATGATTTGGTCTGTCTTTGGGAGGGCAGAGGTGGACCTCTTCACCTCAGAAGACAACTTACACTGCCCAATCTACTTTTTGAGACAGCAAGATGCCCTGGCCCGCAATTGGTCCAGTGCTCACCTGTATGCCTTCCCCCTGGTTGCCCTGCTTCCTCAAGTCATCAGACGGTTCAGGGAAGACAGATGCTCAGTCCTTCTGGTGGCCCCACTCTGGAGGAATCATATGTGGTTCCCTGAGTTGATTCAGCTGCTATCAACAGCCCCTTGGCCGATATCACTGAGGGGGGACCTTCTCTCGCAAGCGAAGGGCATGATTTGGCATCCCTGGCCAGAGCTGTGGAGCCTTCATGTTTGGCCCCTTGACAGAAGTCTTTACATCTTTATAGCACCGCGAGTTAGCTAATACCATTTTGGAGGCTAGAGCTCTGTCTACAAAACGTCTTTATGCTATTAAATGGTCAGTCTTCCTTGACTGGTGTGCAGCACGGGATGAGGAACCTGTCCTCTTGTGAAGTGTTCCACATGCTAAAGTTTCTTTAAGAGCTGCTGGATAAGGGGCGCACCCACCCACGCTCAAAATGTATGTAGCAGTCATCGCGGCAAATCATTCTCTTGTGGCTGGCCAGTCAATCGGCAGAAACGACTTAGTCGTTTAATTTCTGAGGGGAGCTCGTAGATTGAATACGCCTTGCCCTCATACTGTACCGACTTGGGACTTAACTATAGTCCTCATGGCCCTACGGGGCCCTCCCTTTGAGCCACTCCAGTCAGCCGACTTGCGGCCCCTGTCACTTAAGAGCGCCCTCCTTTTGACTTTAGCGTCAATCAAATGAATGGGTGACCTGCAAGCACTGTCAGTCAGTGCTTCCCGTCTTGAGTTTGGGCCTAACGACTGTAGAGTCGTCCTCAAACTGAGACACGACTTTGTGCCAAAAGTGCTCTCCACTCCATTTAGAGCACAAGTCATCACCCTTCTAGCACTCCCCAATTCAGATGGTGAGCAGGGTCCTAATCCACTATGCCCGGTTCAGTCTCTTAGAGTGTATGTCGAGCACTCTGGTCTGTTTAGAAACTCAAATCAGCTCTTTGTGTGCGTCAGAGGCCGCTCTAAAGGGCTGCCGGTTACAAAGCAGAGACTATCTCACTGGATGGTGGATGCTATAGCCTTGGCTTATGCCTCAGTGGGCTTGCAGTGCCCTATAGGTGTGAGGGCCCACTCCACCAGAGGAATGACCTCCTCCTGGGCTTGGTCCAGCGGGATTTCTATTGGTGATATTTGTGCGGCCACCAGCTTGTCGTCTCCGTCTACCTTCACCAAGTTTTATAACTTGGACGTCCCTGCCCTGCAGGCACAGATTTTGTCAGCTTAATTCTACCTAATCCCCTTTGTAAGTGGAGAGGGTTATTGGGTCTCATTATTGGCTCATGCTTAAAGGAGCCCTCAGTACGAGTGCTCCGGCTCGCAGACCGGCTTTATTCTGCACTTGCTTATAGCACGGTGCTATTGAACGTGTTCCCCATAAGCGTGTCAATGCAACTGCAGAGACCATTCGAAAGGGAACGCTCTAGTTACTAACGTTATCTCGGTTCCCTGAGATAAGTGAATGAGTATTGCATAGGCAGCCATGCTATAAGGCTGCGGTCAAATCGATGACCATCACTTCAGTCGAAAGATTCTGGCAAAATGGCACTCAGAGCCAGCTTTTGGCGGGTTGAAGCGCCATTGGTTCGTGCAGCTACACAACGTGAACAAATCAGGTTTCAGTATCAGAGTACACAGGAGTTTTCCCATAAGCATGTCAACGTAATGCTTGTTCCCTTATCTCAAGGAACTGAGGTTATGTTAGTAAACAGAGCGTTCTTTATGTCACTATTAAATAGTTTTTTCTTGTTTCAATTTGAACTAAAATTAGTAATGCTTTTTCTCAAACAAGACAACATTTTGCTAATGGTGTAAGAAAAAATGAACTTAATTTAATTCTTATCTAAAAAAAAATCTTAATAGCTCATGCAGCTTCGCTTCAAGTAAACTGATCTTATTTTAAGAATATTTAGATACTGATAAAGAAAGTGATTTTCTGCAGTGTAACAAGTCTCATAAAAAAGTGCCTCCATATGAAAACCCTTTCTATTAAGCCACTGAATGAGTCAATAGAAAATCAGCAAGGCAGCTGCCTTTAGTTTTAGATAAAGTCTTTCCATTTGGGGACATCTGAAGGACACATGGAATCATATGAAAAGAAAAATGAAAAGAAAATGAAATGAAAAAGTGTATAAAGTCTCTCAATGTCAAGTGCAGTATTTGTCTATGAACGCCTGCCCCGCCTCCACCCTACCTTTCTAGGCCACTATGAAGAGCAACAGGGGCACTCCATTAGAGAGCAATCATGCAAAGTCTCCTGACTCCACAGAAGTAGAGATCTAGAGTGTCACTGTCAGCAGCGGGAGAGTGAAAGAGAGAGAAAAAGACATGTATAAAGCTTATGGCATACTGTATATGAATCAGTTCTGCTTCTCTTTGTGATAAGTACTTTTACCGCACATCTCTTACCCTCACATAAAAGGGTCTATCTTGATCTATTTTTGTTCGCTCTTTCCATCTTCTCTCTAAGACCATGGTAAATTTTTTATGAAGATGCGTCTAAGAGGAATTCTATTTGTAGCCATACATGAACACACAGTTTTCGCTTTCCTCTGAGACATGCTGCTTTAGAGGCATTTCAACTCTTAAAAAAGTCTGTAAAAATAGGGCCCGACCTACTGTGCTAAAGGAATTTTCCATATTGAATTTCCACCTGTGATTTCCCAGTATTTTGAATTTTACGTTGCAAAATTTTAGAGAAAAGATTTAGGTTTAAAAGAAATGTCTGTACACTTAATGGATAATGTCCTGGCAGAAAATGACCAGTACCTTTTCTGTTTTTCCACATTTTTTTATTTTTGTAGACACAGAATATGCCCTTATTGTCAGGGTTGGGGATGAAGGGATGAGGTGAGGACTCAATGGTGCAGGAGATAAGGCCCTTTTATTAAAAATAAACAACAAAAACTACCCCCGTGGAGGAAAAACTGGCAGGCAAGGCAAGATCAGGACACATCCAGGGTGATAAGATGACAAACTGGCACGGGACTGCAAACACAAGGAGAATAAATAGGGAGCAAATGAGGAGGGTAACGAGAGAACACATGTGGGGCAAATTAACCAATAATCAGGTAACAAGATGGGTGGGGTCAAGACAATTGACATGAGAGCACATGGCACACAGGAAACAAAGACAAAAGCCATGTGCTCACACAAAACAAACACAAGCACATGGCCAGCAAAACAAACACAAGCCATGTGCTTGAACAAAACAATACACGAACAAGCAGCTAATGAGAAAACTCATAAGCCGCGTGTTCACACAAGACAAGACAGCACGCAGCCAGCGAAAACCAAACCGCGTGCTACACAATACACACGTGGACAGAAGAGAGCACGGCCGAGCGAACTCGAGACCGCACGCTCCCACAACAGACAGAACATGGAGCACGAGTGTCCGAATCCCGACACGAAATTGAAACTCAACAAGACATGAGTGCCGAGATCTGAACACCAACATGAAACAGGACACACAGACGAGAGTGCACGGCTCGAGCACTCTCGAAGATGCGCGCTCACATGAAAACAACGACACGATGGGAGTGTCAGGGCTCTGTCACAAAACCATGAATTACACTAGACCGAAGTGACAGAACCGTGACAGAATGGCCAGCAAACATGCAATTCCTACTTTCCTATGTTGCAGAGCTCCAGGCTGACCTGGTCAAAACCTTTGATTAAGGGACTAGTGGAAGGAAATACGCACAACAATGGATCTTGTCATCGGGACAATACAGTGCACCAAACAGGCTGTGGGATTAATTGTGGCAGCTCAAGGGCATCTGTGACTGAACATCTCTAAGACCATTGATAATAGCCCCCTGTTGTTCCTAGACTCCTAGACACCCCCAGATGGGCTTTTTAGTTCAGCAGTGGCAGCTATGCAGGCCCACTGTAAATCTAAGAAGAAAAAAGAAAAAAAGAATCAGTTGTCACCTGCTCTGTAGAGGAACTGGAGAGGATCTGCAAGGAGGAATGGCAGAGGATCCCCAAATCCAAGTGTGAAAAACTTGTTGCATCTTTCCCAAAAAGACTCATGGCTGTATTAGATCAAAAGGGTGCTTCTTCTAAATACTGAGCAAAGGGTCTAATACTTACGACCATGTGATATTTCAGTTTTTCTTTTTTAATAAATCTGCAAAAATGTCAACAATTCTGTGTTTTTCTGTCAATATGGGGTGCTGTGTGTACATTAATGAGGTTTTTCTTTTTCTGCAAAAATGTCAACAATTCTGTGTTTTTCTGTCAATATGGGGTGCTGTGTGTACATTAATGAGGGAATGAGGGAAACTCAAATGATTTTAGCAAATGGCTGCAATATAACAAAGAGTGAAAAATTTAAGGGGGTCTGAATACTTTCCGTACCCACTGTATATACACACATACATATGTGTATGTGTCTGTGTGTGTGTTTGTTATTCATTTAAATAGACACTTATTTCACATAAATAACCATTGTTAACTAGGCTAAGCATGTTCAATTAAAGTTCCAATAGGCCCAGTGTCTGAACTTCACTGTACATCAGTGACGTGCACAGACATTTTGAGGGGCAGGGGCTCAAGTGGAAAAAAAGGGTACTCCTCAAACTTATTTTAAAAAAAAAATTCTAAACAAAACGTTAAATATATTAGGGTTGGTTGTATGATATTGACAAACAATATAATCTCGATATTTTCTAGGATTTTATCGATAATGATAATTAGATGATATTTTGCTGAGTGTGTTATTGTGCTGCTATCTTAAGGACTACTGTGGACAGCTGACTCCTAAAGTTGTTGATATTCTTCATATTCTATGTGGTGATCAGTTCACAGCAGTGATAGAAATTAATCTTTTCCAATAAGTTTAAATAGATTTGTACCTTTTATGGGCATTTGTATCTTTATAAAGCCATTTTTCTAAAGTGTGCATTATCTCAGTCAAATTCTTAAATTGAATCAGTCAATTACAATAAGAAGTAATTTGGAAGCTGGAAGCAACACAGAAGCTGCCTTAGAAGGGGCATTTAGATGCATTTACACACTGTTTAATGCAGGACATAAATTAATTTAACCTGCAGTTACGAATGCATTAATACTGTTTTGATCATTTTAAACATAAAATTCTGAATACTGATATTTGAAATTATTTAAAAAATGAAAAGATACTTTAAATGTGAAATTAAAACCGCCAGTAGGTGGCAGCAAGTCACTGGTAATAAGTGAGTCATTGCGATTGAAAACGAATCATTGAAACGGTTGATTCATTCAGCAACAAAACAGCGTCATGTCAGAGACGCAAATTGGAATTATATTTGTTGGCGAAATAGAGCAAAAACAGTCAATATTGTGTCTAAAATGTCAGTGTCTTAATATTCAATTCTTGTTTATTGAACTGCTGTATAAAATCAATATCACAGTTGTAATCATGCTGCTTTTTGGTGGGAAAAAAAACCGTCAGTCTTCGCGTGATTCTGATTAACTATATGACATTATATAAATATATATTTCTGCCCCCATATCTTGCATTTTGTGATCATTCTAAATGCATTTTAATAAACTGAATCATGCAGTGAAAGAACGTGCACTGGTCTAACCTACTAGACTTTGGCTTTAGCTCAACTTACATGGTAGCTCTCTCATGAGTCATGGATACTAGCAAGACAAATTAACTATATTTGTCTTTTGGATAATTAGCTGTAAATTTGAGGCACAGGTAGCTTAGTCTTTTGTTCATCACCACTCACCTCCACACCAAGACAAACACAACTGTAAAGAGAGGGAGGGCTTCACTTCTGTGGCTCTCTGTCTGTGATGTAATGAGCATGTGCACATCAATGTGTGCTACACTGCTGTGCTGCGCGGGGACGCAAAGGGAGAAAGGCATCGACGGTGTCTCAACATTTCCCGACCCAACCTGATATTTAGATTTTTTTTATTTGTTTGACAGGGAAAGCTGTGCGCAAACAGAAACACTGCACAGCACACACGCACACACACACACACACACACACACACACACACACACACACACACCAAGGCTGTTTATCGCCAAGCCATTGAGCACCTAGAGGTTGAATATGTCAGGGTTGGGGATGAAGGGATGAGGTGAGGACTCAATGGTGCAGGAGATAAGGCCCTTTTATTAAAAATAAACAACAAAAACTACCCCCGTGGAGGAAAAACTGGCAGGCAAGGCAAGATCAGGACACATCCAGGGTGATAAGATGACAAACTGGCACGGGACTGCAAACACAAGGAGAATAAATAGGGAGCAAATGAGGAGGGTAACGAGAGAACACATGTGGGGCAAATTAACCAATAATCAGGTAACAAGATGGGTGGGGTCAAGACAATTGACATGAGAGCACATGGCACACAGGAAACAAAGACAAAAGCCATGTGCTCACACAAAACAAACACAAGCACATGGCCAGCAAAACAAACACAAGCCATGTGCTTGAACAAAACAATACACGAACAAGCAGCTAATGAGAAAACTCATAAGCCGCGTGTTCACACAAGACAAGACAGCACGCAGCCAGCGAAAACCAAACCGCGTGCTACACAATACACACGTGGACAGAAGAGTGCACGGCCGAGCGAACTCGAGACCGCACGCTCCCACAACAGACAGAACATGGAGCACGAGTGTCCGAATCCCGACACGAAATTGAAACTCAACAAGACATGAGTGCCGAGATCTGAACACCAACATGAAACAGGACACACAGACGAGAGTGCACGGCTCGAGCACTCTCGAAGATGCGCGCTCACATGAAAACAACGACACGATGGGAGTGTCAGGGCTCTGTCACAAAACCATGAATTACACTAGACCGAAGTGACAGAACCGTGACAGAATGGCCAGCAAACATGCAATTCCTACTTTCCTATGTTGCAGAACTCCAGGCTGACCTGGTCAAAACCTTTGATTAAGGGACTAGTGGAAGGAAATACGCACAACAATGGATCTTGTCATCGGGACAATACAGTGCACCAAACAGGCTGTGGGATTAATTGTGGCAGCTCAAGGGCATCTGTGACTGAACATCTCTAAGACCATTGATAATAGCCCCCTGTTGTTCCTAGACACCTCACTATCCCCAGATGGGCTTTTTAGTTCAGCAGTGGCAGCTATGCAGGCCCACTGTAAATCTAAGAAGAAAAAAGAATGAGGCTTTCAGTTGTCACCTGCTCTGTCTGTCACAAAACCATGAATTACACTAGACCGAAGTGACAGAACCGTGACAGAATGGCCAGCAAACATGCAATTCCTACTTTCCTATGTTGCAGAGCTCCAGGCTGACCTGGTCAAAACCTTTGATTAAGGGACTAGTGGAAGGAAATACGCACAACAATGGATCTTGTCATCGGGACAATACAGTGCACCAAACAGGCTGTGGGATTAATTGTGGCAGCTCAAGGGCATCTGTGACTGAACATCTCTAAGACCATTGATAATAGCCCCCTGTTGTTCCTAGACACCTCACTATCCCCAGATGGGCTTTTTAGTTCAGCAGTGGCAGCTATGCAGGCCCACTGTAAATCTAAGAAGAAAAAAGAATGAGGCTTTCAGTTGTCACCTGCTCTGTAGCAGGTGTTAATAGCTGTCTTTTATTTTGCCCCAGTTGCCTAAAGGTCAAAGTATAATTTGCCATACTCGAGGGTCCACATACAGTGCGTGTGATGCAAATTTTATCACCAGAATAGTATGTGCGTACTGTATGCACACCATCAAATTCTTGTAACATGCACATGTGCATTGACTTGGGTTTGCACTAATCAGTTGTGGCACAACTGGTGGCAACACTGGCCCGGGCTGCAGTTTCACAGTAGAAAACAAAACTACTAGACGGAACAACAAAATA